TTCATTTCATTACATTATCTCCCAATGTTTTTTTTTTTTTTATAATCCTACACATCCATAAACAAAAAATAGTAATAATAATTCTCAGTTTTGGACCTTGACAATCACTTTTATGGAAAAGAGTGTATTGAATGACAGATTGTTCATTTCACCACAGAAGCATTTAAACCAGCGCAATCTATGTTGACTTCCCTAATGTAAATAAACTTCACGGTTTCATTCTCAATCTCATCACACACCTCTCAGGGCTTATCAAATGGTTTAGTCCATAGTGAACCTCAATGGCTGTTCTGTTGGCAAGAATGCCACCAAATTTTCAGAAGAGGGGATCAAAATGTCATAATATTAAAACACTGAAGTTGCCCATATCAGTTGACTATACCAATCTGAATATTAGTGGGAGAAACTTTGAGAATATTTGGAGGCATTTAGGCTTTGACACAAGTTAGAATATAAGAATAAAACATCATCATTCAATAAACAGGAAACATTCCCTTCCACACTAGCCTGCATGCCAGCCCGAACTCCGCCCACAACATTTTTGGTCGGGAAGTTCGGTCAGGACTCGATCCATGGAGGAGTAATTATGATCAGGCAAAAACTGATCAGGCCAATCAGATTGCCAGGGCGGGCTTTATACGATGATGGACAGATGATCTGCAGGAAAGTAATCATCACGTTATCAAAGAGCGCTAACTGGTTTCCCTCAGAGATGACTGCAGCTGGCAGCGACAGCGCATTCATTTTAATAGACAAACAAAAAACTGCAATCAAGGCATTTGTCGATCGGAAAGATATTCGGCAAAAGTGTAACTTATCAGCTGGCTCTGACGGTCGCTAAGTTAAGAAGATGGGACGTAATGAAAAGCCTGTGGTCGTTGTGGTTTCTCCTTTGGTCGCACTCATGAAGGACCAAGTGAAAGAAGCAACACTCGTTACTTCTAAAATAAATAAGTTCTGTTGTTGACAACTATGCTATGCAAAGTATTTGACATACTGCGTTGCTCTGATTGGTTGTAGGTCTGTCCGACTATCCAGTTGAGTGCAGTGGGGTTTTTTTTTCCTGGTTCGGGTAAGACGCGCCTCATAATCAAAACTCTACGGAGCGGTCTCAGACTCATATTCTGACCAGAATATGAGTATGACGAAGTCAGGCTACTTCCACACAAATTACGATTTGAGTTTTAGATTATTGATAAATAGCTAACTTAATTCCATGCAGTTCCTTGCACAATACTATGTTGTAAGTGTGACACCAAAACACTTTCACCATAGTACATGATTTGCAAGTTATTATATCTTGATGCTTGCATCACAACGGCCTTATTAGCTGTAGACCCAGATAGCAAACTGACATTGAATCAACGTGGAAACAACGTCTCTCATGACATTGAAACAACGTTGATTTTGCTCATCGAATTAACGTTGAACCAACGTCAGACGCGGCATTCTTCAAAGCTAAATGAAAATCGAAAATTGGTTTGCTTTCATAACGTTGAAACAACGCGTTGATTTCAAGTTGATTTTCCGTTAGTTTTGAAAGAATGACGCGTCTGACGTTGGTTCAACGTTAATTCGATGAGCAAAACAATGTCAGATCAACGTTGTTTCGATGTCATGTTTCCACGTTGATTCAATGTCAGTTTGCTATCTGGGGATGTATGACTTTTTTAACGTAGCGAAATGGCTTCGTTGCTCACCTGGTTTTAAAATCTACAATCTATGTCTTCCATTTAAACAGACACTGAGAAATATGCAATTAAAATGTTCAATATAGTCTACTCATTTTTTTTAATACCATAACTTTGTCTCCTGCTATCTCTTATTTTGCCCCTGCCTGCACCTCTTGGGCTAGTAGAAGAGCTAAAAGGTTTACTGTTTAGATAATCTTGAAAAATCACAGAAATCTTTTTTTTTTTTTCTTCAGGAAGAGAAAGGTCTATGAAAAGACTGAATCTTACATGGTTATGGCCTTTGTTGCATATTTAATGGCCCATGAAATGCTGAGAAAACAAAGTGCATACAATATGTAAAGAACATTTACAAGCAACCTGCAGGTGCTTATTTTCCTTATTTTTTGTTGCTACCTTTGTGGATCGACTTGCTCTCTTTCGGAGCACCTGATCTGAACAAATCACCTGCAGACAATGGGGCAACAATGCTGCATCAAGTAAAGTTTGCATAGTTTGTCTGAACTAAACAAACAAGTCACGATAACTAAGCCACTGTATGCAAATAATGCATACAAACACACATCAAAAAATGTGCCTGAGAGAAAAAAGTAAGCAAATAACCATTTTGCAGTAACAACCAAAAGGAAGGACGACCAACATTTTCTGGCTGCTTATAAGACTATCACAACAATGAGGGTTAATTTTGGACCATTGGCCACAACAAATTAAATATCAGGTCATGGATTGATGGCTTGACATTCTCATGTAAAATGTCTAGACACTTTTGAATTAATTTTTCCTTCAGTGTTAACCGCACACCATTACACTAATAACTATTAAAAAACAGCAAAATTACACATCTTACCAGTTTACATGCAAACCAATAACTCAGCAATGCAAGAAAACCATGTTTTGGTTTGTTATTGTTATACATATACACATTTAATAAAAATTGTAAAGCATTTCTTTTGTTTTATTTCCTTCTCATATACCAGCATCTTCATTTGCTGACTTTTTACTAGCATGTTAAAACACACATTTTATATATTGTTGAAATAAAGGTTATTTAACAAGCTTTGAAATACAAGGTATTTCATAAGTCACATTCAAATCCAGACTCAAAACACATCTGTTTAGCTGTGCATTTACTGAATGAGCACTGTGCCACTGTTTGTCCGACTGTTACTGCACTTCATTTTATTCTAAATAGTTCTAATTTACTGTATTTTATTTTTATCATAATTTTTTATTTTTCATTATTTCTTATTTTTTATTCTAAACTGTTTTAATTATTCTGATTTCTTTTGATTATTTTAATTTCTTCTATGTAAAGCACTTTGAATTGCCATTGTGTATGAAATGTGCTATATAAATAAACTTGCCTTGCATTGCCTTATTTGACTGTTTCTTGAGGTTTATTTAAGAATTGAGAAATTTCACTATTATCAAAAATTTTGGAGTCTAAAAATTATTTTCAGAAAAAAACAAAACTATTGTTATCATGATGATATTGATCATAATTGCCAAAGATGCTAAATACCTTGAAAATGATAACTTAAAATGCTAGGTATGCAGCTCACTTGGTTTTTGCAACCAAACTACTAGGTTGCCAAAGCAGCAGAGCATTAAACATTATGATCAAATGTATACGCACTGATACCACAATTGGAACATTTCTTTACCATGCACAGACAGCCTCTAGCTTGCCCAGACTACATCACAAACCACACCCAACCATCACAAACCCTGCCAGAGAGGCCAAAGCATGAATTATCTATGGAGATCAGATATCGGAGAAAGCCAAGAACAGCAGAGGAAAGAGTTTATGTGTGCGTGTGTGTGTGTGTGTGTGTGTGTAATTATAATTACACAGTTATTATATTGAGTCTTTTCATCCAGCAAGTTCTGAACCAAGGCAAACAAACCTACAAGACCCAACTAACTAGAATCAGTAAAGCTTAACTAATTGCTAATCATATTAGACAAAAAAAAGTGGTTAATCCCCTTCTTATCATTAAAGCAAGTGAGAGTAAGCAGGGCAAGACTTAAAAGACATCTATAAACAGCATGCATTAGGCAAGAGTTCATGAATCATTAAAGATTATAAGAGATCATTATTGGCCTTGACAGTTTTGGCCACATCAGTATCAGTCATTTTGTAGCAAGGGAGTGTTACATTACCTAAAGGCCGTCATTACCTGTTTCTGACCTTCAAACCTTTAAAAAGCCACAAAAGTGTTAACATCATCTGCTTGAATTTTTTTTTTAATCACACAGGCAAGAAGGTTGCTTTTAGATTAATTGTTGTTGTTGAAGTTGTCGTTTTGTTCTTTGGACCAATCAATTGGCATAGATATCATAAATGCTTCAAAAGATGTGCTAAATTTCATATACATTTTCATCAGGGAAAATCAGCACATTAACATGTCAAATAAGCTATCTCAAATTAGTAAGTTTAATAAGAACAGCACCTCACCAAAAGAGGATGGATACAAAAGTGATAATTAGCCTAATAAACTCACAATAAAGAGTGTAATTGCCAGACATGTGATATGGTGTGTAACGTGTACTATCTTACTCTGATAGTCAAGGAGGGGAGGCATTCTACAACTGCGTCACATTTACATCTGATTTTATTTCTCTCAATCAAAATTCTCTGCTATATTAATAAATCTTACTTAGGTCAAATTAAATAACTGTATTTTTGAGACAAAAAATTATTTTGTCTAGTTCACACATGGTGTTCTTCATTTATTTATAGATACTTTCAAAGACATTTTGGTTTTGTCATTTTGACAAGTTATGACAACCAAACACAAATTACATAAGAGTACCTAACACTGGTGAAAATAAATGAGTCTTTCAAAAGAAGCCAATTCATACAAAATATTTGCATGCTAATTGTAAAATAATGTATTCCATTTATTTTATTGTCAAAGACACTATAGGCAATTTAAATTGCTAAGTTTTCAATTTAAAAAAATGTGTACCTGGATGCATTGTAAGAAAAATACGTGTATAGGCTATTCTCTTCATAACAGACTTTCAAAATGAAAAAAAAAAAAATGCAACAATAATACTATTATTGTAAATAATAATAATAAGCATTCATGTGTTTTGTATCTTCACAACAGAGTTTATATCAGTTTTTCCATATGAATGTGAGAGAAAACATCTCGCCACTGAAAGTATAGAATGACCCGGGGATGTAAACAAAGTCAAAACACATCAACTCACATGATCAAACCACGACGAGCAAATATAGTCTATCAACGTAGATAACAAATAAAACAGAAAAATGACCGCAGTGAGAAGGGGAACACACACCTTATCTGAACGACTGCCAGCTACGATTTCATCCGATTGAAGGCGAGTAGAGCTGGGCGTGGAAATGCACTATACGGGAGTCAAGCCTGCTTACTGCCACTGTTAAAGCTTCCACCCGATCCGATGGTTAGTCGATACTCGATAAGCAGTTGTCGACAAGAGGACTGATTCTTCTCATCACAATCTAATGTTATTGGGTATGTCCTGCCGGCATGAGGGCATGTTGTGTAAAAACAGCTGACACTGACGTCGGCATTCCTCCTCATACTGCGGGTATACCCGGAAATGGGCGTTGCTTAGCGGCATGGACGTTGTTTCTGATTTGGGCCTGCCTGTTTCTATCATAAGAAGATGCTGCATATGCGCCCCCATCTTGGAACGGTCAGCAAGTGAAGCAGAGCTTTTCGAAACTACGAATCAACTGAACAAAATGCTTTGGAAAATGATTAATTCTAGGCACTGAGAACACCACACACACTGGTGACACCAGTGCAAAATATTTTTTAAAGATATACATTTTTTTGTTAGTAGCCTATTTTTGCAATGTAGCCTACTGTTGAAAAGGGAATATATTTCAAATGTAGGATAATAAACTATACCTTTTTTTTCTCTATGAAAATTATAAAATTACATATTTTACAAACTAATTAATATCTATTTTGTCACATAAAAACATGGTAGCCAATAGCCAAATAAGAAGTGTCTGTAGCCAACTATATGATAACACATTTGATGTGATGTTTACATGTGGAAGACAGTATTTGAGTGTTTGCTCATCTGCAACACGTCTATAGGATGTTTCCTGTCAGATGTCAAATACGTTTAGAAGATGTCAGTTTAACATGTAAAACTGACATCTTCGAAACATCTATTTGACATCTGACAGGAAACGTCCTAGACGTATTGCAGATGAGCAAACACTCTTAAAAATACGTCTTCCAGATGTAAACATCACATCCAATAGACTTGTGCTATCATGTTATTTTATTAATTTGTAGTTTTGTGTGTTTAGGGAAAGCTTGGCTATAGGCAGTTAGTGACAATTACTTCTTGTGCAGCAAATCAGCTGCCCAGGTGAAAAGGAAATATATTTAAATTGTACTTATTTTGATATACTTAATGTATTTTAAATGTACCGTATTAAATATGTATTAAATGTGCTAAATTGAAACAACTTCAAGTATATTAAGTGTATTTTAATATGTATTTAAGTTCAATTTTAAGGTAATAGTAATATATTTTATTATACTAAATTGTGCTAAAATGGAACCATTTTAAGTACATTTAATGTAATATAATAGCACTTATTTAAAGTGTATTTTAATACACTTTAAATCGACTTTAGAAATACAGCATTAGTATATTTTTAGCTTCACATTAATGCGTTCTGAGTATATTTTAAATATAATTTCAGCTTATTAATAATGTATTAGTAGAACACTATTGGACCCACTATTAACATATTAAAAATATATTTTTCCAAAAACCATTTAATATAAAAATAATATATTTTAATGTATTAAAAATACATTTAAACATTTGAATTCAACAAAACCCAATAAAAAAAATATTTCTACAAAACACACAAACACTCTTTGAAAGATAAACTTTAATGCACTACATCAGTAAAGCATTATGAAAACTAAACAAAATACATTAACATAAAATGCATTGATTTGCAGAGGTATTAAACAGAACAAAAATAAATAAATAAATAAACTAACTGAAAGGAGTAGTTCACTTTTGAAAAAACTTTTGGTGATAATTTACTCACCCCCATGTCTTCCAAGATGTCCATGTCTTTCTTTCTTCAGTCGAAAAGAAATTAAGGTTTTTGATGAAAACATTCCAGGATTTTCTCCATATAATGGACTTCACTGGGAACCAAACAGTTCAGGGTCCAATGGCTAACAGTCAATTTGTCGTGAAAGCATGAGAATTGGCTCAATTGCGAGAGTCTTGTGCTGAATGCTTGAGAGTTGGCAGCCCTGACAAATCTTTTTTCGAGTCAATTCATTCATTTCGTTCATTGAATGAACCTAATGACTCGGAAAAATATTTGTTAATTTTGATGAACGAGTTCAAATAGGAAAATCATGAACATGCATAACAGAACAGAGCAAGGCGACCATTTGAGCTTATAAAACTTAAACTTGTGGGTTTTTTTTTTTTTAAATGAGCGATCGTTTCGCTTGATAAGACCCTTATTCATCGTCTGGAATCGTTTAAAGCCCTTTGAACAGTTTGCACAGAAACTGTCTTTTGGACCTTGAACCGTTTGGTCCCCAATGAAGTCCATTATATGGAGAAAATCCTGAAATGTTTTCATCAAAAACCTTAATTTCTTTTCAACTGAAGAAAGAATGACATGGATATCTTGGCATGGGGGTGAGTAAGCTATCAGCTAAAGGTTTTTTTTTTTTTTTTTTAAAGTGAACTAATCCTTTAAGTCAAACAAAGTGAAATACAATAGCAAAAAGTAAAGTGGCCAAATCTTGAGTAAAAAGAGAAGTTCGTGACTTGTTCAGTCTGCCATAGACTCTTTTGGGGACATCAGAAACACCGAGGGAAATCTGGCAAGAATAAAAAAAAAACAAGCATTAGTATAAACTTGTTCATTTATAATTCTAATAAAAAGCTGTCACTTTGTTACTTAATTCAGAACACTTAATGCACAAAAAGTCAGATATAATTATTATAACAAATAGGATTTTTCTTTATCATAAAGAATTTTCTAACCATTTCTGAGGTTTCAGGAAGACACAGCTCAGATGATCTTGGGCTTGAGCTGAATGAACCTCGTTTCATGGACTCCAGGGCCTCTTTGAGAGATGCTAATATCCCTGGAAGCTCTATAAGAAAAAATAAAGTTGCATGTTATACAAAGTTAGGGCAGAAAAAACACTAGTTTGTGTTCTTCATATATAATTTGTATTTTGTTTAAATGGTGAAACATATTTAATGAACCATTACTGTAACTTCCACCCTATTATTAAAGTAATTATTCATTATTAATAAAGACAGAACTTTCTATTGAAAGTTACAAGTTGGTGACAGCTGATAACGCCTTGATTAAATGTAAAAAAGCTGAATACCACTCATAAAATCATATAAATCAGTCCCTCGAGAAAAACACGATTATGTGATTGCATAATTCAATGCATAATCAGGCAAAATACATATTCATTTTTCAAATACGTGTTAATATATATAGGTCACTTAGTTACTTAGCTGCTACATGACACACTATTGCCTTTTTTTGTTGTTTTTCACCAACAAAAAGTTACAAATCAAGAGGATCAACTAGTACTACTTACTCGACTTGACCTCATCTACTCACGGTTGGGTTTAATAAAAAAAATGTCTTTGCAATGTGCAAATTCCTTGGCTAGGCTAAATATTAAATATAAAATCTCTCATTTCATTATTTAACATCATTTTAATTTCTCAGTGCAAGATATTTAATAATTGGTTTTGTGAAAGCTTATAGTTGGTGATTACAACTTAATTTATTTATCGAATTGACATGAAAACTGACAGCCTACTAATAATTAATTAGATTTTACTATGAATTAAATATCACAGATGTGAAAGTTTTATTAGAGCTTAAAATATATTATAATATTTAAAACACAAGAAGTTACTTAGGGACAATCAAGCCTGTCGTGTAATCACCATTAATAACCTTTTTTCTGCAAACACAGTGTGCAATGTTTTTATAGTTGTATTATGTCACTGTCTAGATCTATAACAATTAAGTTGATAGACGTCAATGGATTAACTCGCTTTAGTGTCAAATCAACAGAAACGCCAGTAATCCACAGAACATCGACATCAACTTCTGAAAATATTTTCTAAACCCAAAGTGAGAATAAAGCCAATTATACTAATCACTTAAACTAATAAACTTACCACCAAGAAGTAAGATCTTTTCTGGCAGTATCTTGCTCTGTCCATGTCGTGGCGGCGCACCTCTGCGTTGTCCTCTTCACTGCTAAATTGTTCGCGGGAGCTGACGACCTGGTAATCTGCTCGTGTGTTCTCTCAATATTAGATCGGTGCTATCCACATTCACTAGGTCCGAGCCAGTGAAATAACAAAGCAAAATTTGGAAAATATATGATTTCTGTTGAAATATCCGAAGCTATAATGGGATACCACAGACAGTCAGTATCCGCTGTCTGCGCCCCGCCCAACATGTAAGTTCAAATGGCAGTGTGTGATTGGACAATTGCCGGCAAGCTTGTTTTGAAAAGATTGGCTCTGATTGGTCCAAATGAATGCAACTGGAAATATTAACTAACATCCACAAAAAAAGAAACAACTCTGTTTATATAAACCTAACATGCTTATTAACAAGTTTTTTTTAATTAATTTTGGCTAAACAAATGTAAGAGTCAAGCTTTAAGAAATGTATTTTGTTTTTCTAGTATGTACACCTGATCTTTTATGTTGATGTGTGCAAGTACTGGTATTCACTTGTTTTGTGGAAAAGACTATTTGATTAATTAATGCAGAAGTATAGAAGTGCATTACTTGTTAGTCAAATTTTAGTGCTTTTGAAATACATATGCATTGAGTTAAGTGTTGGTAGTATTACAAAAAGTGTGTTAGTTTTTGGTATATTTCTTAAAAGCTTAACTGAGCACATATTTATAATTAAAGTGCTACTTCTAGTCTTTGTAGAAATATACAATTAATTTCGATACATGTTTAATTGCCTTCATGTTAGGAAGGGAATTAAAGGGACTTGAATTTTTAAACTTGAAGTGAACACAAAAAATACTTTAATTTAGCAACAAGTATGCTTTCTGTAAATACACTAAAACTTCACTAAAACTATGTTTGTTTTTAGCATATTTCTAAAAGTGTAATTAAGTGTATATTTATTAGCATTGCGTTTCTAGTAAAACATTTTTAAATATAATTAAAATATGTTTGTATTTAGAATATTTCTTAAAAATGTAATTAAATACCAATGTACTTCTAGTACACTTTTTAGAAACATATTTAAAGCATGATTGTCATTAGCATATTTATTAAAAATATAATTAAGCACACATTTATTACCAATGTACTAATAATATACTTTTTTAGAAATACATTAAAAGTATGCTTTTCTATAGTGTATTTCTTAAAAGTGTATTTAAACATATATTTATTACCAATGTACTTCTAATATACTTTTTAGAAATACATTTAAAGTATAATTATCATTAGCATATTTATTAAAAATATAATAAAGCATACATTTATTACCAATATATTACTAATATACTTTTTATAAATACATTAAAAGTATGCTTTTCTATAGTATATTTCTTAAAAGTGTATTTAAACATATATTTATTACCAATGTACTTCTAATATACTTTTTAGAAATACATTTAAAGTATAATTATCATTAGCATATTTATTAAAAATATAATAAAGCATACATTTATTACCAATATATTACTAATATACTTTTTATAAATACATTAAAAGTATGCTTTTCTATAGTATATTTCTTAAAAGTGTAATTAAATATATATTTATTACCAATGTACTTCTAGTATACTTTTTAGAAATATACTAAAATGCAATAAAATACATTTTTAGTACACTTTAAATAAGCATGTTGTAAATACAAATGTATTATAAACACACTATTTGTATTTCAAATATATTTTTAATACATTTAATACAACGTCTTTTTCACCTGGGTGGAGTTGTATGTTAGGCATGCGGTTGTTAATAGCTACTCTTCCGATTAAAGAAGAAACATGAATTATTTCCATTGTAACCCACAGTAACCCATGTTAAAGCCTACACCCATGGTGACCAGACTGGAGTGTTAACAGACAATAAATCAATAAATGAAGGCTACAATATCATGTAGTTCATCAGTTGATGTTTTAATGTTTTAACACAATAAATGGAAAAAAGAATACAATATTTATTTCAAAATTAACAGAAATCTTTCATCTGAAGGAATGATTCAACCATTTGCACAAAAAAACACTATATTCAGCTTTTATTCACTTTTATTCAGCTCAAAATATCTTGCATTTGGTGTCTTTGCCGACCTCTTGTGGAAAAAAATATATTATAGCACTTATAACTCTGTGTGGAGCAAATGAGCTGTTCCGCTCGGTCCTAAAGTCAGTTATTCAGTTATTTTTTTTATTTATTAAACATTTATTTTAATACAAAAGTGAAAAGTTTTAAAACACAAACAAGAGCCAGAGGTTCAAGGATTGATATATTACATTACATTTCTTAAAAAAAAAAAAAATATATATATATATATATATATATATATATATATATATATATATATATATATATATATATATAAAATAACTTACACAGAAAATTATACTATATATATATATATATATATATAGTATAATTTATATATGATCTTTTATATCTATATCTATATATATATATATATATATATATATATATGATCTTTTTTTACACAAACACATCAAAAAATGAGTATAGACCATTTCACAAGATGTAAACAACACTGGTCCAGAAGCACTTCCTGTTTCAGTTTTTTAACACTACATAAAAGCTGGGATAAAATACAACCAACAGAACATTTAAAACTGAATCAAAAAGTTAAACAAACATCTTTAAGATGTTTTCTTTACATGTGAAATAAAGAAAACAGTTACAAACTGAAACAGGAAGTGTTTCTGGACCAGTGTTGTTTACATCTTGTGAAATGGTCTATACATTCAAAGTTTCAGTAGCCTTTTTGTTACAAGAAGTAGATAAGGTTCTTAACATCTTCTTGAAAGTGAGAAAAATGGGGGGTAACTTTCATAGTTTTATATTTGTGGATAAAATTCTCATATTGCTTCTCAAAAATGAAAAACCCAAACAGAACATCTTTGAAGTAAAGCACAAAGTCTTTATTTATATAGTTTACAATGAATTGGCAAATGTCTTGCCAAAGTTTTCTGGTATGATCACAGTGCCAAAAAAGATGTAAGATAGTCTCTGGTTGTGAATCACAAAAAGTACAGTGTACATCTATACTTAATTTAAATTTGGACACTATGAATGTTTTGACAGGATAATATTGATGAATAAGCTTAAAAGAAATCTCTTTGACCTTATTTACCAATAGCTACTTGTTAGGGAGAGTCCAAACCTTCTTCCATGAAATATCTTCCACTAACGCGTTCCATTTTGAAACAACATGAGGAGTGGAAACACAATCATTTAGAAAAAGAAGACGAATACCTCTATTATTTTTTAATGCCGATTTAAAACATATCTTGCCTACATACGTGTCTGCCGGGTCTGGGAGAGGTAATTCAAGACTTGTCTAAAACTATTATGGCCCTTAAATATGGCCCTTTAGTATTATTTAAAGTTTCAAAATCAACAAAATTAAGACCACCTTTACTGATGCTATTGGACAACACAGATTTTTATATATATATATATATATATATATATATATATATGTGTGTGTGTGTGTGTGTGTGTCTCTTATTTTTCCATACAAAACTACTAGTTGATCAATCTTTTTACACATTTCTCTAGTTATTCTGTATTCATTCAGTTCATGACTCAGATACGTAGACATCACAAAACATTTTTTTTGGTAAAGTTTTAGCATTTTTAGTTTGAATTTTGAGCACTTTTAGGCTTTTCTATGTAGAGTCTAATTAAATTGAAAAATGAAATGCGTTATTTCAACTTCAGGCCCAGGGAAGGATTTGTTCCTTTTTAAATTTCAACCACAAAACTCCTCGAATCCATTCCCTCCTGAGGGAAGGATGAGTTAAATAGCCTAGATATATAAAGAAACTTAACTTTGGTTAGATATATACTCAGGACGAATTATAATATTCGGCGGTATTTGATTATTGGCGGGAGTGACGTTTGGTTACGTCGCCGTTGCGTGAACACCTCCTCCGGGTGCGCAGGTGTGTTCATTTACAAACACTGATAAGCACGTGTTACATCAATGAGCATTTGTAGACGTTTAGCGAATGTGGATGCTTGACGAAATATTTCACAAAATACTGACAATATTTAAATGGGTGATTCTGAACATCCCGTAAGTAGATGAAGCGATAAGATTGTGAATTAGTTGAACATGTTGGATGAAAGCCAATGGCTTGCATGTAACATATGTAGGCTACTCATTCAAGCTAATATTCTCTGTAACACTTTACAAAAGGTCCCATTAGTGAACGTTATTTAATGCATTTAGAGACAACTTCCATTATGCCCATTTGTTAATCTTTGTTAATTTAACGTTAGTTATTATAAAACACAACTGTCCATTGTTATTTCATGTTAGCTCAATTAAATATTACGCAGATACACAATTTGATTTGAATAATGTCAAAGTAAATGTTGAAATGACCATGAACTGAGATTATTAAATGTGATTTGCGTGTTAACAAATTGAATCTTTTAGGAAAGTCTTACCTTATTTTGTAAGGTGTTATGCTATGCATTGCTAACAAGGTGATATAGTTAGCAATGTTTTATTATACATAATTTATGTCTATCTCAGGAGAAAACCGGGGAATCTGATCCTGATGCCATTTGGCCAGAGAATGGAGATCAGTGGAGCGACAAAGAGGATGATGAATGTGTACTGTTGCTCGAAATGGCTGAAGAGGATGAGGAGATTGACCTCTACAATGTGGAAACATTTGGCTTGGGTATTATTATATTATAAAATCATAACATGCATGGATTGGTAATTGGCTGACGAAGGGCTTTTCTTTTCTGGGGTGGAGGGTAATATTGTATTGCTAGATTGTAATCACTTTAAGCATTATCCCTGCAGCATGTGCTTTTAAGTTTTGTTTTGTTTTGGTTTTTTTTTATTTCTTCTTCCTTCTTCAAACTCTCTAAAAAATCCCTATGCAAAAACTTCCAGATGAGGATGTGAGTGAAAATCCAGATGTAGACCCTACGGATCTCCTGCTGCTGTGTGGCGATAGCTCCCCAGGACCGCGGTCTTCACCTCCACCCCCTCCCAGACCGCCTTCCTCTTACACTTCCCGTTCACCTCCCAGACCGCCTTTACCACCTCCCAGACCGCCTTCCTCTTACAGTTCCCGTTCACCTCCGAGACCGGGACCTCGCATTTGGCCCCACGCTCCAACAGGCCGGTCTCAGCGAGGGAGAGTGGGTCAAGGGCAGCTGTTTGATGACCCAGCTGTGGTGAAGACTGTGACAGGTCGACCAAGCTTGAAGGTTTTTACCTGCCTGTTCTATGTGTGTGTGTGTTTGTGTATATTTTTTTTTCAGAAATGCTGGTTTGAAGCTGTAAACTTAAACTGAGTACTAACCAACACCCTCACCCTTTATTTTTTTCTGACTTGGATTTGTTTTTAGAGTCTTGATAGTGCCATTGTGGATTGCAGCCTCAGCTCCTACTGGGAGGACCTCAATTCAAATACAGTGTGTAGTCTTCAATATTTGGCAATGTTTTTTTTTTTTTTTTTTAATTGACCTGAGGTGTAAATTTGTTTTCTACTTCAGTGGATGATATCATCTTTAAAGTCCAACAGGCCACCTCCACCGTCTATATATCAGGTGATCAAGCAAATCTCAGATGTGTCTTTTATGGAATCATACATTACAACCATCTGTTAATCGTTTTCATCTTAGGACCAGGCGATTGTGGGAGTGATTGACCGATCAGCACGTGGCAGGGTCCCACCTGTCTCTCCAAACTATCTTTCTCCTATAAGGCCTTTTTCCACTAGCCGGGGCAGGAGGGGACAGTCTTTCGCTGGATCTTTCAACCAGAGGTGTCATTTTCAGGTAGTTGGGTTTCTAATATAAATGGGGAGCTAATTGAGGTTGTTATGTTCTGTAAAGGTATATTTGAGTGGTGTTTCCCTGTGCAAAATGAGCTGCCACTACTCTAGAATGTTCTGGGTGGTTATTAGAATATTGCTAGAAGATCCTCCTTTATGCCCCTCTTGTCCTTTATCGTTGAAGCATATTTCTATGGACTGTCATCTGTGGAACCGCAATAGGAGTTTCAACTTTATAGTCTGTTGTGTGACTCAAATTTAATAAAGGGTAAGAGGTACAGAAATACAGTTTTTTTTTTTTTTTTTTTTTTTTTTCCTTTAGGCTCAAAATAGTCCTATGGTGCCTTGCACTCCCTTTCGACCCCAAAGACTCTTTTCACCCCAACAACAATATAACCAGGTGATCCTCTTATTCATTCACTTACTGCATTTCTGTTCCTGAATAAAACCGGCTTTTTCTAGAAGCTCATATCTGGAGATTATTTTTTTTTTCTAGCCTGGAGGTTTTCTGTCACCTTCCCGTCCTCCTCATCTCTCTACCCCAATGCCCCACACGCCCAAACTCATGCACCTGCAGTTTGGGACAGAGTCCCCCAGGCCTGCTCCATTCTACAGCCCATCTTCCAACATCATGCAGGACTTCAGGTTGGTCATCTATTCTGTAAAGGAATACTTTATTGAAGATTAAAAATATGCACCCTCATGTTGTTCAAAACCCTTTTTGAAACATTTGTCAAATAGTTAATAATAATCACGAGGGACTGGGGCGTATACAACTTCAATATGTTATAGACTAAGTCACATTGTGAGGCAAACTGAACTGTACTTCCATTTATTCCATTATTTATCATTGGACTCGCACTCAAATTTGTATGGTAAAATCAATGCCATCGTTACTGTCTTTAGTGTGTACAATCGCTGTGGACGGAGGAAGGCTCCGGAGTTGAAGTTCAATTAGGGTAATGGGCAGGGTACGATTTGTAAAAAAAATAAAAATAGAGGGGGGATGTTTTGAAACATTTATTCAAAATGAATCATGAGAACATGAACTTCATTACTGCATTTGCAGGAATTGTAATATTTTTTTTTCTAAACTCATGAAGTAGCCTAACGCAATATTTTTACTCTAATAGCTTATCTTTCCAACTGGAGAATTCCACTGGAGGTGAACGCGGGCGACTGAAGAATAAATGGGAGTCTATGGAGCTAGATGGCTAAATGTATCCCTTTCTCGCTTGTCGTTGAATCAACGTAGATTTTATTGTTGATTCCGCAAATTCAATATACTGTAGATTATAGATAAAGTCGAATGAACGAGTACTTGTATCCTTTCGATGTCTTACAGGTTAGGCCATTGTTGGCTGGAACACGCTAGCATTTTGCTATTATGTGACGTTATCACATTTTTGAATGGATTTTTAGAACAGATAAGTGAAATTAAAAATGCTAAAAATCCCCCTCCCCCCCCCCAGAAATACGACTTTCAAATTACTTGACATCCTGAGAAAAGTGGATTTCTGGGGATGAAACCCCATAGACTCCCATTCATTCTGCACTTGCCTGCGAGCGCACCTGCATGGAGAGAGAGGTGTTACTGCAGCCAGTCCAGAAACAGGAAGTAACCAGACAGTGCCAATTCTCCCCTTATTAGACTAGACTAGGTTGTAGTCAATTCGCCTTATTCACGCGTGTACCGCGCTAAACGCTTCAATCGCGCCACAGGATATCTAGACGCGTGTAAACGCGTCTTTACATTGACTTAAAGTCCCTGTAAAGGCAATTCTACAAAAAAGTTCTAAACACATTATAAATGTTACATATGTATTGCTAAAACATATTACAAAGACTGTGAACTGTGAAGTACTGAAATGTAGAGTTAGACCGTTAAACAGTTTTTCACCATTGCAATTTTACGGATTAATTAGGCGGGGCTAAAACAGGGCTCGATGACGCACTGGAGCCCATGAGCTGCTGGACACCCCCCTATTTGATGACGCGCAGAGTCTGATCTCCCCCTCTCCACACACACTCCCCGAGCACATTCGCATTCACCGCTCAATCGCGAGTGACTGTCAGTACTATTAGTTACTACAGCTGAGCCTACAGTTTTCTAGCTAGCTATGCCTTCGACACGGACATGCATGGGCTACTACCTGGATGTGATCATGTACAAAACAGATCGGTATCTTCATTTAAATTCCCCTAAAAACGATCACATCAAGAAGAGGTTTTTAGAGCGCTTATACCTTGATGAAGAGCCTCTGTACCTCTGTAGTGATCGTTTTACACTGGATCGTTTTATAAACTTTCCTCAGAGACAACTTGGATTCACTGATAATCCGCTGTTACTGGTGAATGGAGCCGAAACGACGATCTCCCGCCTCAGTGTTCATCCTCCCGTCTCCAAAAGCTAATCAGCTAATATCACCGTCGACAGCTTTCCCGCTAGTGGGCGTGGTTTCAGCGCAGCCAGCGGACACGCCCCCAGCGTTTGAGAGCAGAGAATCTGCTCATTTTTTCATGATTTTGATAGCTTATTTTATGTACTTGCTGCCTTTTTTATCATTTAAATTTGGCTGGGTGGCTAATAACACATTTTTCTGTGGTATGACAGACTCAGAACACGTACTTAATTTTGACTTTACAGGGACTTTAACATTGAAATCACTCGCGCCAGACGCTCAAGACTGAGCGAGAAATCAAAAAAAAACCTTTGCTTTAGCCTCAATTGACTGTATGTGTAACTTCGGCCATTCTCAGTGGTGTGACTCTCATAGAAACAGATTAGCAGATTGTGATGTTTATTCCCACTTCAGTAATATGCTGAATAAGCTGCCGTCCTTTCGACACACAGCTCCACTGCCCAGCTGACCTGCAACCATCTCGCAAGTGTTTGATTAGGTTATTACTCGTGAGATAGCACCTTGAACAGGACATTGAGCTGCGGCAGCTAGAGCCAGCTAAAGTTGCACATTTCAAAATAAAATTGACTTTAATCAAACCACGGACCCGTGATAAGTTTTGTGATCTGTCTTGCCACTAGTGTAGTAGCACTGTTCACTTTGGGGGTATAAACTTAACCCCACTGGGGATAAAAATAATTAAGCAGAGGCAGGGATACATTGATTGACATTTTGTTTATTGGCCGATACAATTTTAAGTTATCAGGACTTTACGTCCTGATAACTTAAAATTGTATCGGTCAAAAGTCCTGATAACTTAAAATTGTATCGGTCAATAAACAATAAAAAAAAATCGGGTATTGGCTGTAAAAATTTGTATGAGAGATTTCATTTTTGGGTGAAGATTTCAACTAGGATTCTGTAATTTGGATTTACTAGCAAATATTTGGTCTTTCCACAAAACATTTTTCTGTCAACTTTTAGAGCACCTGGTCCTGTTGTTCAGTTCCACCCCCAGCACAAACGGCTTTTGAGTCAGCGACAGCAGAGACCTCACAGGTAAGTGTAATGAAAATTGTGTCTTTTGGAAAAAAATGTCTTTTTTCTGAATTGAAATCTAATTCTCAGAAAGCCAGTGAGCTGGGACCCATATTGTCAAATCATGACTGACAAAGAGAAGGAATGGATAATCAGGCTGCAGATGATCCAGCTACAGAGTGAGAATCCACATCTGGATGATTACTATTACCAGGTTTGTATCAGTCCTAAAGTTTTTCGCCCTCCAGAAAATGGTCAAGGAAGTTGGTGGGTTTAACTACTCAAATCAAATTGGATTTTTGGCATATATTTTATTATTAACTTTGTTTTTGTATTTTATTTGTGCATGAATGCATACACATACTATATAACGCCCCCACTCCCCCAGTTGATTGATATTAAAACACTCATAGGTGTAATTAAAGGTGCATTGTTGTAATATTTTGGAGAATCTGTTTTCAGGAGTGTAATATCATGTACATAACTGTTTTCAGGGGTGTATAAAGACGTTAGGTAATGAACCAACCGTTGTGTTTTTAATAGCTTAGAATGAGCCATTTCCATGTACACACCACCACGGCACGGGTCCCTTTAAATTTGAAATAGCCATTTTGGATAACACAGTCTCATCCCAAAAAGTCATATAACTGACGTCTTGGGACGTCTTTTGACCATACGTCAATATCCGCCTTTTTAGGGCCCCCATAAACGTTGGTAGATGGCGATCCTGGGACGTCATACAACTGACGCTTTACCTTTAACGTCAGTTAGGTGACGGGTTAGGTTTAGGGTTAGGTTTAGGTCTGGGGTAGAGTTAGGATCCCATAACCTCATCTACCGACGTTTAAGGGGGCCCTAAAAAGGCGAATATTGACGTATGGTCAAAAGACGTCCCAAAACGTCAGTTATATGACGTCTTGGGATGAGACCGGGTTGTTTTGGACCGACATGTTTCTACAGTATCTACTGTAGTATCTACTACAGTGTGCATTTCATCACTTGTTCTTCGTGCAAAGAAACTAGCTAAATTCAGCGAATAAAACACTGACACAATGATGAACAAGTAACAATAATATATCGTTTTACTGAATAAGCAAATATATAATTTCTTAATTGATCTTTAAGAAACCTCATTGATTAACTGGCTACTCTCGTCTGTCTTCCATCTTTTCCTGGTGTCCACTGTAACTTCTAATCGTTGCAATTTACAACCTCACCACTAGATGCTGCTTAAAATTACACTGCACCTTTAAACATTTTGAATTATTTTTCAATCTTTGTTTTACTTAATTTTTCTGAAAAAAGTAACTAATTTTTGTTCATAATAAATTACATTTCCTGCCTTTTTAATTTTTAGGCTATTAGTAACACTAGTTATATTGTGTGTGTGTGTGTATATATATATATATATATATCTTGACCTGAATATTATATTACTGTTAGTGGGAGTTATTTAATCATATATTGTAATGCATTTATTATTTTACTCAAGCCCGGTGGAGACAGACACCATCACTGCTTGGCCTTTCATATTCGTCTCATGGTGTGAGCACACGCACACTTTTTGCATCGAAAAATGATTTATTTATTTAACTATGTTCTTTGTTGCCTCAACATGTTAACAACTCATTTAGAATATACATTTTTAATGTTTATGAATCGATTCGAATCACTAGAAGAGAGAATCGTGAATCTTTTTTTTTTTTCACCCCTATTTACTACTGTTTGATATCTTTCTCACAACACTGTCCCATTGGCTGTAAAAATGACTCGATGTATAAGATCAGGTGTCAGGTCTAGTTATTTTAATCCCTGCAGGAGTACTATCAGAGGATGGAAGCCAAACTTGCCGAAGAGGAGATCCTGGGTGACCGGTTAAAAAAGGAACCCCCCAAACTCACAACCCCTTATGTTACCAAAACTCTTTCATACACCCCAGGTCTGGCACAAAAAAAAAAAAAAAAAACTGATGTAATGCCCATTTTATAATTGTACAGTATGAATGATTTGCAGTTATTCTTGCATTACTACAGTGGTCCACTTTGAAGGTTCACTCGGGCAGGTTGCAGTGTCTACCTGTTTCTCTCCAAGAAGAGCAATTGATGCCGTTCATGCGCATACACATGATGAGGTGAGATTTGCTGTATTTAACTGAAGGTGCAAAAATAAGTTGTGGTAATTTGGTGAGGGGAAGATGGGCTACTTTAAAAAAAAAAAAAAAAAAAAAAAAAAAAACACCAGCAAACCTGTACCTTCTTATTTGAGCAGGAGCACAAAGACACTAGACAGCAAAGGTTGGATGTGTTGAGCACCATTGAGAAGGTAACCACTTTGTAATATTTGTATCCAGTTCCAAAGTGGGGGGATGGTTGGTGATGATGCACAACATGTTTGGTTAGTACAGTGACTCGCCATCCCTCACATGTTCTCCATATTGTTGCAGTATCTGTCTGTCAGACCAACCACCTGTCGGTCACAATCTATCTATCTCTGCCATTCACACTTCGTTCTTTCATTACTGTAACCTATAAGGCATCCCTGCTTGCCTGCATGCAACTAACAAGAAAAGCCTCTGACTCTAGCACTAGGGCTGGAATGATGCACAGTATCTATACCAGTTAAACAGCTCATTGTCTCTAGTGCGGGTCCCCCTTGAGTCTGGCATTGGACCAAAGGTTGTTCCCTCTTATTGACGGACCTTCCTGATTATCCAGGATTAATTCCTAACTCAAGGTATAGATTGAACTCTGTAGAACCCTTAAAACTGGTTGCCTCAGTGTTCTAAATTCAGGATCCTATTTTTCGAGATGCCTACAAGTGTCAATTGTGGACAATATGATCTGGATATGTCCACAAGTGTGGACTTATGTTACCTCTAAATAGCATGATTTGACCAATTAGAATATAGTATTTGTAAGAATCAAATAAATATATATATTTTTTTTTTGAAGGGCTGCACATCCTTGGAATAACTTTTTTTTTTACCTTAATGTTTAATAATCAGTTACAATTGGTCATTATTCAGCAACTGCATTGAAACAACTTCCTAACCTTTTTTTAAATTATTAATCCATTAATCTCAGATGTTATTCACAATATGGAAGACAAAATCTGTTGCTACTATGGTTTCATTGCGACTTTGTACTCGATAAAGTGTCTGGGTGACTCCACCTATGGGTGACTAAGTGTATGGGTGACTTTAAACCCTTTGTTTTCTCCCAGTTGTACATAGTTTTGTTAGAAGTGGAAGAGGCAGAGAAAATGAAGGCAACGGTGTCTGACAAAGATGAGGAGAGGCGGTTGATGCAGAACATTAAGAGGAAGGTGGAGCAGCTTTACACTGAGCTGCGAGTCACTAATCTACTGTAAGAAGCTCCTTTACTTTTCTGTTGTGAATGTACAGTATGTTTTTGATCTCATTACTTTTATAATCTATCATTTTTATATTTTTGCCCCCCCCCCCCCCCTCCCTTGCAGGGACTCTGGAGAGGAATTTCTTTCGTGTCTACTTGTATCAAAAGGAAAGAGTATGTTGGCCAGACTCCTCCCCTTCCTGTCACATGATGCATCCCTACATATTCTGAGCGTGGTGACCAAACACCTCCCAGTATTGATGAGCAGAGATGCAGATGAGGTGTTTTATGTGTATTGATTTGTGTTTTCTGTATAGCTCTTGGTGTTGATCACTTATTCAAGCTCTAACCTCCTCACAGGCCCTGCCTGTTTTGTATCCATCGCTCCGTGCTGTGGTTGATGGACTTGTGTTCAGTCAGCTAATCCAAATTCTCAAAGAGTTCACCACATCACTGCCCGACTCAAAAGACACACGGTTAACGCTGGCCTGCCAAAACAAGGTACGCTTTTAGGCGGTGGTTATATAATTTTGTAGTGGTGATTTTATCCAACTGGTCCTTTTCAGTGTAGTTATGTTTTACCATAACCGAGTTAGCAAATGTGTACCAGCTTTACATTTTCTCAGGGCTTCTTCGTGGCATTGCTGTCCAGTAATATTTTCAGGTTTAATAAATGCAGGTTAAAAACATAGTATTTAACGTGTACTGTGTATTTATTTATTTATTTTTAAATGTTGCTTTGCAGTTTGGTCTGTCGCTGCTGTATGCCCTGCTCTCGCAGGGAGAAAGGCTTTTATCTTCTGACCTTCCCATGGAGCCCAGCATTGGAGACTTTGAGACCTGGTACCGTTTGTGCTTGCCTTTATTTACTTAGTAAATATATTTGTGTCTATCTATCTATCTATATGTGGAAGATATTCACACTGTTTTTCCATACAATGAATGCGAGGCTGTCAAATATCATAGCCTACAGTATATAGTAACTTTGTGAGGAACAGATCCAAATTTAAGTCACTGCAAATCTATAGACTATAGATAAACTGTATGCAAACAACATTTTAAATGTATTGATTTAAACCAGTATGATTTTCAGTGAATGTCAACAAATTTGGTTTGTTCCAGTCTTGTTACATCTTCTTTTTTAAATTGAAATCCAATTTTTCTAACAACCATCAAGGACGGATACAGTATTCCATGTGGCCCGGCAGCTATCCCAGACGACACTTGTTGAACCATTACTTCTGCCCCCCAACCTGCTAACGCTTTTCTGTCGATATCTGGACAAGCGGACCATACACCAACTGAAGAACAACATGGAGTGAGTCTAAATACCGCACTCAATACTTCACACTTTGCGTAACTCTTAGAGCATTTCAGACCTGTAGATAATTTGCTTTGTGAAATGGGGACAAATTGAAATGTACCCTTATGAAAGCAAACTGAACCAACAGAAAATTAAACTTGGTAACGAACACATACTGTAGTCACATGCAAGTAAAGCTGTCCTCTCATTGGTTCATCAGTTTGTTTCCGGATTCCGTTCATTGCAGTTGTGCGTCAGGGACTGTTGGCTCTGTGGACTAGCTGTCATTGCCAACACAATTTTATTTAGAATTTATGTAAACCTGGATTCTGTAACTGATATCCTTTAAAGCAGGAATTAAGGCATTGTCGAGACCACATTCTTGCAGTGCCTCCTGTTTAGGAAATGTGCAATGACACTTAAAGGAGAACTCCGGCGCAAAATAAACCTTTGGTCTAATTACACATTGCAACCTAGTCAACCGTTATCTGAGATTTGTTTTCATGATTGCCGAATGTAAATAGTGTTATCTCTAAAAACAGTTTAGCCTATAACGCTAGTATAATGCTAGTATATAGGGCATAATGACAAATAAATGACAAATAAAAATCGCTTGTTATTACCACTAACAAGGCTCAAAATAGCCCCACACTAACACGACAGCATAATAAGGGTCCCTACATTCAAACCGAAGCATTGAGAACTTTGTCCGTGTCCATACAGTTTAATAAGAAGACATTTTATACACACAGTCAACTTCGCGAATACAGGAAGAAGCCATCTTTGAAAAATAGTCTCTACCAGTCGATCTACGAACGCCGATCCATGTGCGCTGAACTGTGCAGAATATCATATGGTCCGTTGTTTTCGGAAGAAACACGAACCGTTTTCTTCTCTTCAATATGTACACGTAGCCTACTGTTCGCGCTCACCTTATCACCTTATTCACATCTCACCGGTGCACATGGATCGGCGTTCGTAGATCGACTGGTAGAGACTATTTTTCAAAGATGGCTTCTTCCTGTATTCGCGAAGTTGACTGTGTATAAAATATCTTCTTATTAAACTGTATGGACACTGACAAAGTTCTCAATGCTTCGGTTTGAATGTAGGGACCCTTATTATGCTGTCGTGTTAGTGTGGGGCTATTTTGAGCCTTGTTAGTGGTAATAACAAGCGATTTTTATTTGTCATTTATTTGTCATTACTCTATGCCCTATTTACTAGCGGTATACTAGCGTTATAGGCTAAACTGTTTTTAGAGATAAAACTATTTACATTCGGCAATCATGAAAACAAATCTCAGATAACGGTTGACTAGGTAACAATGTGTAATTGGCTTTATGCCCAGCTGCACTACTTCCTGAACTTCAGCCAGCTCCTTGTTTCCTGTCTGCCATTATTGGGCAAACTTAATTAATTCAGGTGTGTCTGATTATTGTTGCCATGACTACTGAGGTCAGGCACACCTGAATTAATCAATTTGTCCAATAATGGCTGACAGGAAACAAGGAGCTGGCTGAAGTTCAGGAAGTAGTGCAGATGTGCATAAAGCCAATTAGACCAAAGGTTCATTTTGCACCGGAGTTCTCCTTTAATATGGTGCTCTTTAGTTTTTCACTCTGATAAGTTATGTCAAAGACTATAAAATAACACAAGACGCATCACTCATACTGTTTTGAATGGGGAAAAGTGCAACACAAGATTATGGAATAAGTCCCGCCTTCTAAATAAGAGCCAATGGCCGATTGATGGTCATTGTGTCACTGTGGCTGCAGTTAGCAGCTCCAGTTCCTATAGAAACAGTCAGACACACTTTGGTTGATCTAGCCTGAAAAATTAAGTTTTCTGTCTTGATTTGAGCGTTTGGCAACAAACTTTGAGATTATCAAATTTCATTGATTTCAAATTGGAAATTTAATTATAAGCTTGGTGAGCAGTTTGAGAATTTATGGTTTCCCTATTCAAAGAGATAGGCATGTGTTTTAAATGGCCTCCGAGTGAAATTGCTTGTCTTAAAGGGACTTTAATGTTCTGTTCACCAAACAGTTAGGGCCCTTTCACACCTACCTTGCTTGGTCTGGACTTTCGGACTTTTCAGTTTGGTCAGAATCAAAATATATAGGTGTTAAACCTCCCCCGGACCACGGTCCGGACCAAACAGATGAAATTTGGTCCGACAAAAAGAGGTAGTCTCGGTCCGGATCAAACTGAAAAAAGGTTTGGTTCGTTCATAGTGTGAAAGCATTTATGTATGGTTCGGACTTTCAGACCTTTTACAGGAAGTTCTGTTGTTTCCCAAAAAGCCGAAAAAAAACAGAAGGTGGCAGGAAAAATGAGCCGTGGTAGCACATGAGGAGAAGAGGAGATGAGGTTTTTATTTGAAGTATGGTCTGATAACATAATAAGAAGTCAACTTGCAGTCTTCTCCTCCTTTCCTGACAGCGACGATAAAATGTTCATTTGGCGAATTTGAACTAGCCTTGTGTATAGTTGGTGCTGCAGGTAATTATGCCATATAAATAACAATATAGTTGCAACAATATGCGTCTGTTCGTTCATGTTGTCAAACTTACCCGCCGAATTGACAACACGCTGACGTCAGATGCACGGCAATTTACTAAACCAATCAATATCAAGATGCAGCCCACATAAATTATGACGACAGGACGCAAGTATGTCATGTAAAGTTCTATAGTGCGCTTGCATTATTGCAGAGTGAAACCAAACCAAAACTTTCTGAAAGTATAAAATGTTTCAAAACATGAACTTTGGTGCGGACTTTCAGGTGTGAAAACACCCTGGACACTGCTTTTACAGAACTTTCCTAGTATGAATTTATACAGATTTGTTTGTTTTGATTGGAACGGTTCACTTGTGGTAAGAAACCTGACTGTGTTATTCGGGCAGTCTGGGACCGTTAATTTTGGTGCATATCCGAGCATGTTTAGGCACATACAACGAACTGACCTATGGGAGGAAATGCACCAGGTTCCAAAACGAATGAAATTGACAAAAAAAAATAAAATCTTGTTTTGCTGATAAAATGTATACAGGTTTGCAGTGACATCATGATTATTGGGTGAAAAATTCCTTTAAAAATGAAATTGCACTTTTGCACAGTCATTAGATTGGTGTACCTGTAGTTTCTCCTAATGAGAAGGATGAGACTGTGTGAATCCTTTTGATCTGCACTTTTATGCTTTGGATGAACGGAGGTCTTCACTGTCAATGTTTAGACAGTTTCAGTTCGTCAGCCTACTTATAGCTTGCTTGTGACAGCGCAAGCCGTCTTTTGGAATTAGTAAAACCTAACAGGACTGTTTTGCGGCTGATCATATTGCGTTATGCATTTATAGGAGCTTCCCATTCAGATTTATGGGAGGAAAGTATTAACCCTCCTATTACATATGGGTCCGTTGCACCTTTTGGGTCATTTTTGCCCCTTAAGTTCTGTGGCTTTACACATTAAATTATGCTGATTTGTTTGTAGATCAAAAGTTTATAGACCAAATTGTCTAAATTTAAAAAAAAAAACCACGCACATTTCACTCTGCTGCTCCCTATGGATGACCCATTGCAGCATGAACATGATCTTTTTATAGTCTGAAATAGAGCCAGACCGATATACCGGCAGACCGATATTAGGCATTTTCCAAACTATCGGTATCGGCAGCTATAATGGCCGATAAATTAATATTTCAAAAATAAAATAAAAATGGACGAAACACGCTTGAACCATGTCATGAGTGTTGGAGTTGTACAGTTTGTCCACCAGAGGGCACTCTACACCGTTCCTGTTGGCAACACTCGTTGAGTTGACATACGTTGCTTGAATAACAATTAAAAGAACATCCCCATCAGTTCTCTTAGCTCAAATAAGCATTACAAAATTTGTGACTGTCATGTCCAGTTTCAAATAAATAAATAAAATATCGGCTGATATATCAGAATATCGGATTTTAAAACCCAAAAATATTTGTATCGGTAGCTATCGGCCTTCAAAATCCTTTATCGGTCGGGTTCTAGTCTGAAAGTAATTGTTTATGCAAGTAAAATTAATATATTTTGTAAAAACAAAGCAGTGGTTCATGTAGGTTGTCTACAAACCGGAAGGTTGGTGGTTCAATCCCCGGTTCCACCTGACCAAGTGTCGAGGTGTCCATGAGCAAGACGCCTAACCCCAGCTTCTCCTGACGAGTCAATCTTTCTTGCATCCCACTGCCATGTAGTTCCTGTAAGTTCCTTTTTCAACAAACTATATTGTATCTGATTAGTAACTTAGTTAGAAAAATTAGATTAGTAGAAAATATGTGAAAAGTGGAATTAAAATCCCTACTGATTATTTAATTAATGTTTTTCGGGTATAGGTGTAGGGAGGGCTTTAGTGTCAGTATGTAACTATTTACACCTGTTGCAAAGAAAATAGAGCTATTTTTACATAATGTATCGTTTGCGACCTTACACTTTTCGCTGATGACCTGCAGAACTTTTTTCACTCCCATCTGCGCTATTAAGAGATTGTGGTCTAAAGCTAATTTGGCCAATTAAGTAAATCTGGCCCTTGAGCCATTATTGTCAGATTAAGTGTCTTTTAGATTAAGTTTTTTTTTTTTTTTCTGACCGCAGATCAGCAACGGGATATCTGGCTGTAGCATCATAAATGAGCACTGACCCTATGACCTCTCCCTCTACAATGGCCTGGAACATAGGACGACGCCAAACAGGAAATGAACTGGATATTGTGACAGACCACATTCATCAGTGATTTATGTCTTCGTGTCAGCCTCAATTTCCTTTTCTCCTATTTCTTAAACTGTCTACTTTAAGCGTATTCCATAAGTCCTATCAAGGTCAGCTTTGCACTGATTAGCAATTAGCACTTTTTTTTTTTTACAAGATTTATCAGTATGATTTATGGGGAAGTGGCTGATATTCAGTCATAAATCATGACCGTATAGAGCCTCATGAAGCGCTTCATGTCACAGATAAAGCTGATCATGGCAAGCTATTGGATGTGAGATTGTACAGTTGCACTAAAGGTGTTGAGTTTAATTTTGTGATTTATAATAACATCTTTTGTTATGAAACCAACCATGTCTTTCAAAGAAAGGTTTTGGGTGTTAAGTTGCGCTTAAGTGAAAAGTTTGCGGTATGGTTTCATTTTGTTTTATTTTTGTGATTGTTCGACCTAATGTCATATGTATTTTTTTCCACTGTTGCAGAGCACATGCAAATTAAAAAAAATAAATAAATAAAAATTTGTAAAAGTAGTTGAATCAATGTTGATTTGTGACTGAATCAACTAACAGAATATTTGGACCATATCCTTTGATTTGTGCTATTCACAATACAACATGGCCTTGAGTGCATTATATAGTTTAAATTAAAAAGTTGATTTGTAAGACCCCTTATTTTTGATGAAATCAGGGATTTCTGTCCCTCCATTGACAGCTGTGCAACTGACACTGGCATTTTAAAGTTCATAAAGATTTTAAAACTAATCCATATAAATGGAGTGGTTTGGGCCAGATTTTCTGAAGAGAGACAATCACTTTATGTGATGAATAGATTGAATTAACATTTGTATTCCCTTAAACATTGATCAGCGAACATGAACAAAATGAATGGGTGTTCAGTGCAAACGACATTGCTTATCTACAGATAAATGAGCCAAAGAGCATAATGCTTTCTTATTAGTGAGAAACCACAGCTTCGGAGTGAAACACCACATTGAAATGACCTCTCAAATGTATTTTGCCATATTCAATTATTCAGGTTTCTATTATGTGTTTTACAGTCTTTCTCTTTTGAATGAACACACTTCTCATAAGCACACTTTATTTCTTAATAACTTTCAATTTGCAACAAATTACTGAATTGCACCTTCAGGGTCAAGAATTGTGTTTTGAGTGGCTTTGCATAGTTTCTGAAGATATAGTCCTTGTATTTGTAGCATCCTTTCTTAGTTTCTTCGAATGTTGTCACCCCCCTTTTTTGAGTAGACATGGAGATGCTCATTTCAAACTTAAATGGTTGTAATTCAAGAATGCTTTGGACTATAGACATATGATTGGTCTTGTTTTAAAGAAGACATTTGGCAGATTTTTCTTGAAGTGAAATAAGTTAAGAAAGTGAAACAGAAAGAAGTTATAGAAGTTTGAGTTTATAGAAATACACAATGTAAAAAAATATATATATATATATTTTATATAAAATATATATTTTCAAAACCTGGGCTAGTTGTGTTTCAAATTTTAGGTTGATATCTCAAAATGAACTTTCAGTGAGATTTTGTTGAGGTGCAGTTCCAAACTTTTTCACTAGGGCACAACCAGACTCCATTACAGCCCATATAAGGGTGCCTCCATTTCCATATGTGTTTTGAGTGATCTGAACCATTATTTTCACAAATTTATGAAGTAGAAATCCTATTCAGAAGTAGTATGGGAAGTTTGGCAGATTTTGAGATGAATTCAACCTCTAGGAATCACATACAAAGAACACGCATGCGCGTTATAGCATATTGCCATAACACAAATGGTGAATTTATTATTTTTTCGTAATATTTAAAACATTTTCAGACCTTTTTTTCTAAAATAATTGAATGGATGCTATCTTTTGAACTCTTGGCATGAAATTAAACTGAGGTTTCTAACTTTGTTTCATGATTTTTCATGTTCATTGCTATTTCAAAATAAAGGTCTGACTGAACACACTTTATGAGTATGAAAATATTCTTGTTGCAAATTGATAAATTACGGCTCCTGTGTAAATTATTTTGAAAATCAAATATGGAAACTAGAGATTGTAAGCTTTCAAATGATATATTGTTTGTCAATATTACTTAAGGTCTTTTCTAAGATATTGTTGTTTTTAAAATATAATGGCAAGCTTCCCACCTGTGGGACGGTGACAGTTAAGATTGAAGTAGCTTGGACAAGTCAGGACGAAGATATGAGTGTAGCGGAGGCATTTTTAATTGAATGACAATGATTTAACTCAAAGGTATCTGAAATGTACATCTAACTCCTATAGATTAACTGAATAATAACCCAATGAAAAAAGTTATAAAAATAAAACGCTCTCTACAATGATGAACTCCAATATCCTGATGGTAAGAATCATTCTCACTTTCTTTCAGATTTTTTTTTTTGTTTTGTTTTGTTTAATTTTAAGAATTATACATTTCATAATTTATATTTTTATATAGTGGTTTAGCTTTTTGTCCAGCTAATTAAAGTGATTTTAGAAGTGAATCATACAAAAGTCTTTTACTTTCAGCCCATGTTTGCTTGTTTTTCAGACCGGTCACATCTTCATTCTAACTAACACAGAGAACTCCTTTGTGTGTTCAGGGTGATGTAATTCGACATATCAGTGAATGCGTAAAAGTGTATCGGAAAAGAGTAGGTTCGGGGGTTAAAGGTCAAGCTTTCAACTCTCCATCACCTCTTGATTTGAGGATTTGGGTCCTGTGTGTGGAATGTCAGCCTAAAGTGAGACACTCTTGAGTTTTTTTCTTTTTCCACATTGTTTTCCTTTCTCATGAGCTGTCTTTCCCTATTGAAAGTGAGTTATCTCAGGCTGTTTTCAGAAAAGGAGCATGCGATGTGCTGTGTACGCAGTGTGGAAAATAGACTCATTTGAGTAATCTCAGTGAAACCACATGACAATCATGAAATCTTTAGGTTGTTAGCCATTTAAGGGCCAGGGTGGCCCACTCTTAAAGTGTCGTGTTTCTCTCAATGGAAAGTTCGAATTGTTCTAGTAAATGGTTTCATCCTAAACTGCTCTCTTGTGCGTGTGTTGGAAGGTCTGATTCATTCAAGTGAACTGAAGTCTTTAATTCTTTCTTGTGAATCTGTTCATCTGTTCACAGACCCCATAGCTCCGGTCAATTGGTCTGTTCAGATGTCTCTTGTAAAATAACAGTTTCCAAAAAGATTGTTCTGTTTTGTTATTTATGTATAGTATGTCTTTTCAAGTTTGATGTAGTCAACCTAATTGTGATTTCTTAATGCATTTAAAAACTTTGATACAATTATCATTAGATAGAGGTCCACTCCACCACATTTCACAAATATTTCAGAAAAATGGCCTTCTATAAGAAGCGAGGAGCATTTATGGGTACAAGTCGGGAACCGGTCTACCTTCAAGGGTGCTGAGTCCAAAAAAGTGGTACCCAAGTGAAATTTTGAGTTTTTTACCTTCTAATTTGCATATCAAAATGGCTGCCAAATTGCCTATATCTTGCTCAGTCGTTGAACCATTTTTCCCCTAGTATTTTTGTAAGTAGGCAATCAAGATGAGGAAATTAAGTTTCTAGATCGATAGTCAAGGGTCAAAGCAAAGATGTATGTATATATTGTTTATATATATATATATATATATATATTTGCAAACTACCAACTTTTGTATTAAAGGGTTAGTTCACCCAAAAATGAAAATTAAGTCATTAATTACTCACCCCCATGCTGTACCAACCCCGTAAGACCTTCGTTCGTCTTCGGAACACAAATGAAGATATTTTTGATTAAATTTGAGAGCTGTATAACTACCACATTGGCTCCTAAGGGACTGCCTCTTGACGGCCCAGAAAGTCAATGAAGAAAATGTTTAAATATCCCAAGTGACTACCGTGGCTCAACTATATGTTTATCAAGCGACGCGAATACTTTTTGTGCGAAAAAACAAACAAAAATAACGAGTTTATTCGACTATTTCTTTTCTTCCTTGTAGGCCAGAACGAGAATTCCTTAGATTTCCACGACGCATGCGCGAGATTTGCGATCTGCTTACACCAGCTTAGATCGCAATTCTCGCGCATGCGTCGTGGAAATCTATAAGGAAGTCTCGTTCTGGCCTACAAGGAAGAAAAGAAATAGTCGAATAAACTCGTTATTTTTGTTTGTTTTTTCGCACAAAAAGTATTCGCGTCGCTTGATAAACATATAGTTGAGCCACGGTAGTCACTTGGGATATTTAAACATTTTCTTCATTGACTTTTTGGGCCGTCAAGAGGCAGTCCCTTAGGAGCCAATGTGGTAGTTATACAGCTCTCAAATTTAATCAAAAATATCTTCATTTGTGTTCCGAAGACGAACGAAGGTCTTACGGGGTTGGTACAGCATGGGGGTGAGTAATTAATGACTTAATTTTCATTTTTGGGTGAACTAACCCTTTAAGTTTTTCAAATTTGTATGTTTAATTATGCAAATTTGGCAGTATCTCATTGAATATGCAGAATTTGCATATATTTTTGGTAGATCGATCTGAACACATGATAAAGCCAGGTGCATTTTGTTTTTTTGTTTACAAGGCTTGGTGCTGAATCCTTTGGCAGTTTGTTAAAAACAGCATCAATGGGTATATATTGTGGCAGACAACAGCCATAGTTTATTACGTGCGAGACACGGCAGGCAGAAACATTGATTTTTCATGCAGTGATCAGTTTTGAGATTTTGGGCTAGTTTACTCCTTTAATATGTGTTCTTTCAAGCTGCTATAAAGAAAATGTTGAAAATATACATTAATTTGTTTATTTTGTTGCATTTAGTTTACTAGCGGCAGTAAATTTCTCCCGATTTAACCAAGAAGTTAGCATTCCAGCGCGTCATGCCGCGTTCCGTCTGAAGTATGTCATGACGGTATCGTTGTAAAGCTCTCAGTCTCCTGCACAACGCCGCGTAACCCAAATATGGGCATTTCCTTTCTATCAGTAACCAATCGTGAATGTCCAAAGGGTGATTTAAAGCTATTGACGAAATCTCATTGGCTACTGCTGGTATCTGCTAATGTGATTTACTCAGACGCATCATGTGGTGTACTCTGCCAATGTTCATACATTGATTTACTGCAGTTGTAGGCCTTACATGCCTGCCATGTTATTAAATAATCTGTTTTCATGAGCTTGAAATATTATATATTATTACTAAGGGCCTGAGCATTTTTCTGTTTTTGAGCAATTTTTTTTCCCAATATCCATCCATCATCTTCCGCTTATCCGGGGCTGGGTCACGGGAGCAGCAGACTAAGCAGAGATGCCCAGACTTCCCTCTCCCTAGACACTTCCTCCAGCTCTTCCGGGGGGACACCAAGGCGTTCCCAGGCCAGCCGGGAGACATAGTCCCTCCAGCGTGTCATGGGTCTTCCCCGGGGTCTCCTCCCAGTGGGACATGCCCGAAACACCTTCCCAGGAAGGCGTCCAGGAGGCATCCGGAACAGATGCCCGAGCCACCTCAGCTGACCCCTCTCGATGTGGAGGAGCAGCGGTACTGGTCTGAAGGGGCCAACACGACAACATTATCTGCAAAGAGCAGAGATGAAATCACATGGTCCCCAAACTTGACACCCTCCGGCCCCTGGCTGCGCCTAGAAATTCTGTCCATGAAAATGATGAACAGAACCGGCGACAAAGGGCAGCCCTCCCGGGTTAGGTCCTAACTCTGCCGGAGTCCAACATGCACTGGGGAAAAAGTCTGACTTACTGCCGGCAACGCGAACCAAGCTCCTGCTTTGGTCATACAGGGATCGGACAGCCCTTAGCAAAGGACCCCGGACCCCATACTCCCGGAGCACCCTCCACAGGCTGCCGCGAGGGACGCCAAATCCACAAAGCACATGTGGATTGGTTGGGCAAACTTCCATGAAGTTTCCATGAGGGAGGCTGAGAAGTGTGATCCCCTTGTAGTTAGAACGCACCCTCCGGTCCCCCTTCTTAAAAAGAGGGACCACCCCGGTCTGCCGTCCCAGAGGCACTGTCCCAGACTGCCACAGGATGCTGCAGAGGTGTGTCAGCCAAGACAGCCCCACAACATCTAGAGACTTGAGGTACTCAGGGTGGATCTCATCCAGAGTTTCTTGTCTAGGGAGATGGGAGTTTTTTGACAGCTAGGGTGATGGATGAGTCCACCTCTGAGCCCTCAGCCTCTGCTTCCTTGATGGAAGACGTGATGGCGGGCTTGAGGAGATCCTCAAAGTATTTCTTCCACCATCCGACGACATTCCCAGTTGAGGTCAACAGCCGCCCACCTCCACTGTAAACAGCATTGGTAGGGCACTGCTTTCCTCTCTTGAGGCGCAGGACAGTTTGATAGAATCTCTTAGAGGCAAGCCGATAGTCCTTCTCCATGGCCTCACCAACCACTTCCCAGGCCCGACTTTTTGCCTCCACAAGTCAAGTCAAGTAAAATATATTTATATAGCGCTTTTCACAATACAGATTGTATCAAAGCTCCTTCACAGTATCAATCAAAACAACTTAACAGTGTTTGTTTATTACTGGAAAAAGACATCAAAAAGACACAAAAAGACAAGTTTGGTAGAGCTGATCAATGGTATGATGGGTCATTTAATTTGAATATCCCCAACTGAGCAAGCCAAAGGCAACAATGGCAAGGAACCAAAGAAAACTCCATCAGATGACCCAATGGAGAAAAGAAAAAAAAAACCTTGGGAGAACCTAGGCTCAGTCGGGGGCCAGTTCTCCTTTGGCGTTTATGAGCTAGAGGCCAAATTTACAGCAACTGTAAGATAATTTTTTTATATGAATGCCAGACTAAATAAATGCATCTTTAATCTAGTTTTAAACTGGGAGAGCGAGTCTGAGCAACGAACAATATCAGGAAGGCTATTCCAGAGCTTCGGAGCTAAATGTGAAAATGCTCTCCCGCCTTTGGTGGATCTGGATATCCTACGAATTCTCAGAAGCCTCGAATTTAGTGGTCTTAAAGACCGCAATGGATTGTAGGGTGATAGAAGATCTAGACTGGAGCGAAACCATTTAGAGCTTTATAAGTCAAAAGCAATACCTTGTAATTAATATGGAACTTTATAGATAACCAATGAAGTGATGATAGAATCGGGCTGCAGTCCGCTTGGCCTGCCGGTACCTGTCAGCTGCCTCAGGAGTCCCACAAGCTAACCAGGCCCAATAGGGCTCCTTCTTCAGCTTGACAGCATCCTTTACTTCCAGTGTCCACCACCGGGTTCGGGGATTGCCGCCTCGACAGGCACCGGAGACCTGCCGGCCACAGCTCCGAGCAGCTCCATGCCGGGTGACGTCACGGTCCTTGTTTCTTCTTCACTCATATGTTTTTTCAACGCATTCTCATCCTTTAACGTCATATAGAACGCTATATGCGAAAACGGTGCTATACTACGCACATGGCACCCGTTATCATTAATATAACAAGTGCTGTGAGGGCTAAGTTTAGGTGTGGGGTAGGGTCTGCGTGTCATATTCACGCTAAAGGATTTATGACGTCTTGGGTTCGTGTGTTATATTAACGATAAAGGGTGCCATGTGCGTAGTATGGCCCGTTTTGTCATATAGCGTTTTATGTGACGCTAAAGGATAAGAACGGGCTGGGTTTTTTGAACCGCTCTTAGTCTGACCTGTCGCCTAGGACCTGTTTGCCTTGGGAGACCCTACCAGGGGCATATAGCCCCGGACAACATAGCTCCTAGGGTCGTTCGGATACTGGCCTGATTTATGATTTAAGATTAATAAATGTTTTAAATAAAATAAATACGCTCATTGTTAGTTCATGTTAGAGCTAATGCATTAACAAATGAAATCTTATTGTAAAGTGTTACCGAAACGCACATTATCTTGTGAATTGTCTTTATTTTATTGTAGTACATTATTATTGTTGGAAAGGCTATAGCCATTCAGTTTACCTGCATCGAAATAGAGCGACTATTGCTGGTATTGTGTATTGTTATTGGCTAGGAACCTTGTGTATTTGTTCATTGTGTTTCAAATGTATTAGCGTTTGAGTGACAAGACTCCTAGTTTACATAGTGTCTGACTGTCAGCTGGTTTTATTCTACGTCTGCAAGACAAACCTATAAACGGAGTCTCTTCAAACTCGGTGCCAGACATAAGCCTTTTCACTAGCTAGTGCAGATATAATGGTTTATTTGAAGAGCATACAGTGAACTGCTGTTTGGATTGGATGTATTTTTTCCCCTGTTTGACATTCACATAGAAACATCATCTGGTGACCACATCAGTTTTTATAAAAACACATTTCAATTTACAATTACTTTATTTTAAGTTGTCCTTGTTACAGTGTAACTATACATTTAAGTACTGAGTAACAACATGTACTTACTATATAATTCGGTTTAGGGGGAATTGAATGTAATTATGGAAAATGTACTGTTATTACTACAATAAGTACATGCAACATAAAATGACAAACCAATGTGTTCGAGAAAAATCAAATAAGAGGTAAGTCCAATCAGGAAAGTTAAGTGCAACTTTGTGATAATGGACTGCTGAACTTGCATGATTCTACACACTAAATTACAAAAAAAGATAATTCATTGGATATGAATTGATTTATTTGTAAATAATGGGATGTATATAATGCGAGAAGAAATAGAATGCCATTTGTGTCATTTAGCATCAACCCTTTAGTTATTTAGCACATGTGGTGAGGAGCATAAAGTTTTATGAGGCCCCAGAAGCCTCTTTTTTTGGCTGACCCCTATAGAGGAGGTGCCACTGTGGACAAAACCGTTTAAAAGCTCAGTGGAGAACTTGCGTGTCTTCTGTCTATGAGCTTTTCACTGTATGCTTTGGGTTAGGTTTTCTGTCTCTTTCTGTTTTCCTTGTTTTTTCCACCTGTAGATAAATCCACAATGTTGAAATGGAATCTTCTAAGGATGATGTTATTGCTCTGGATGACAAAAGTAACACTTCAGGGTGGCACAGGTAAGGATGCTGATGAGAAAACAATGTTCATAAGTATTTAAAATCTTGGTGGATTTTATTGTTGTTTTGCTTTGAGTGTGTTAAAGAATTACAGGAGTTTTTCCCCTTAAGTTATTGAGGAACAAATAAGGTGGCCTTATGTTCTTGGTGTAGAACTAATTAGTAAAGACTTCTGCGATGTTACCAGAATAATGTTTCCCATTTATCCAGAAATGACCAGAGAAAGGCATTTCACATTGAATGTTGTAGCTCAAGGCATTTACGCACACAGTATGGATGTTTGTTTGTTTTGTTTTTTTCTGGATTGCCATTTTGTAAGCACATTTTTTCACATCATAAACAGTTAGATTCTCAAGCATTTCACAAACATTTGTAGAAGTGAAAAGTCTTTACGAGTGTGTCACAAAAAAGCAGCTGTGGTTGCCTTAACTTTACTGTAAAAAATACGGTAGAAATTTAAGTTTTTCAGATTAACCTAAATTAACTTAAAAATGTTCATATTTTATTACCTGAAATGTATATACCAAATTAATTAATTATATATATATATATTAACTTTTATAATATACTGGCAAGTGGCAACCACCTTAAAAACACAGATGGTGAAGGAAAAAAAGGCAAAGATTAGAGAAAAAATAAGAAGAAACAATTATTGTACATGATTTCAGTCGCATGATTTTTATACTTATCAGCCACGTATAATAAAAAAAAAATTGATCACTGGATTTTATCAATCAGGTCCTGGAAAACATTACTGTTCTTGAGGGTTTAAATGTGGTTAAAAAATTCATGAGAGTTAATAATTCAGTAAAATAACCTGCAACATATCATCAGTCTGTGTGTGGCTACCTGGATTGTTTCAATGGCTATTTTGCAATGAAATATTCTGTTTATATTCTCATTATCCGCTCTGACTGAACAGCCACCATCGACACCTCAATCGCTCTGTCAATAACTTCAACGCATTCTCATCCTAGGGCGTCATATCGTGACAATGCGTCTAAATCCGACGCACATAGCACCCTTTACCATCAATATAACACACTTAATTTCAGATTTTAAAAAGTGGCGTAGATCTCACAAAAATCCTTATCAGATTCAAAAGTAGCAATAGTGAAACTTGTCTCACTTGTAATTTTGAAGCGGGTTTAGCACTGCTTTTTACCTGGAGTTATAAAAGGGATAGTTTACCCAAAAAGAAAAATTCTGTCATTTACTTGCCCTCAAGTTGTTCCAAACCTGTCTGAATTTCTTTTTTTCTGCTTAATGGAAAAAAAAAGAGATATTTTGAAGAATATGGGTAAACTAAATAGTTGATGGGGCCCCATTGACATCCATTGTATTTTTTTCCCCCATAAGGAAGTCAATGGGGTCCATCAACTTTGATTACCAGAATTCTTTAAAAAATCTCTGTTTGTGTTCTTCATAAGAAATAAACTCGTAGGTTTGGAACAACTTTTCTATTTTTGGTTGGAGTATCCCTTTAAACCCTGCACAGCTTTTGAAGTGTTAATCCCAGATTGCGGTGCGAAACTTGTACAGCGTGAAATGCTAATGCTAGATGATTAGAAACAAACCCCCAATCATGTGCCTAATGCTCATGTAACAGAAACACTGTGTGTTATATACAAAGTAATTCTAGCAGTTGAGGGGAAAAAAATTAAATTGGAGGGGAACCATCAATTGGAGAGAAGATTCTACCTTTATTTATAAAGTCTTTTCAGGAAAAAAAAAATTGATAGTACAGTTGGCAATATATAATATGAGGATTACTTACAGAATCCTATAATTATTGATTCTCAGCCCTTTAAGAAACACTTTTAAATGAACTTTTGGTGATTAAAAATTATATACTTGTTATGTCTTATCAACTCTTTTTATTTTTATTTTAAATAAACCTTTTGGTTACACTTTATTTTGATAGTCACTTTAGACAGTCTACTAACTATAAGTAGCTTTTCAACTACAAGTGTCATTAGAGTATTAGTAGGCTGTAGTAGACTGTCAGTAGACTGTTAGGTTAGGGTTAGGTGTTAGGGTTCAGGTTAGGAGAACAAGTTGACTTGTAGTTGCTAAGTTACTTACAGTCAGTTGAATGTCTGTTGGGGGACCAACAAAATAATGTGTTAGCAGATGTTAAGCAGACAGTCTACTAATACTCTAATGATAGTTAGTTGACATGTAGTGGCAAAGTTACTTATAGTTAGTTGAATGTCTAAAGTGGACTATCAAAATAAAGTGTTACCAACCTTTTCTTTTAATAATCATAATTTGCCCACATGATTAAACATCCAAGATATGTTGTGCATTTCAATTCCTGAAACTTCTTAATATTTTGTGAAACATCATTTTCTTGCCAAGGGCTTCTTAAAATCAAAGCTGAGTGAGTGAGTTTCCCCTGCAATGCCTGAATCTAACATATCCCTGTGAGAATGTTATTACGCACAGAATTGCAGAAAAAACGTATTCTCTTGCCCCTGCTGTCTCCAGGAACTGCCTGTTCCCCCATGCGTCCAAGATATTTAGACAACAGTACTCTAAGATTCAGCAGTTATAGTTCACATTACCTGTGAAAATAGTTCACAGTTTCATAATAGATCCATCATTAACTTCAACTGACAAGAGTGGAGTATAAAGCAATTTATCAATATACTATCGTTTTATTAGCGATGCTGTACTGAGCAGAATATGTGACGTCTGAATACATTCTAAACCATCCATAGAGCTTCCATTGTGATTCTTTAAGTTCAATCAAATATTGGACGGTACATTGTCATGTCAGAGGATAACCTCCTGTACATTTTCTTCTATTATTATTTAAGGGTACCAACCTCAAAATCCAAGTGGCGGTGGAGTACAAATGTCACCAGGAGGTAATATCAATCTTTCTATGTTGATGTGCAGTAAACAACAGTTTCAGTGCATGGCTATTTCCGTTTTATCATGCAATTTTTTTTTAACATTTTCTGGTATTGTAAATATTCAGCTTAGAAAAATGCGATAACCCAATAAATCTTATACTAATAGATCATTTGTAAATAAATATAACTGTAACGTTGAGGAGGCAAGGAGGAATCCAAATGCAGTAAGCAGTTTTTAATAATAATAATAAACAAAACAAAAAGGGAAATCCACAGAGAACAAAGAACTTGGAAACAGGAACTCAGAACAAAACTCAGAAAAAAGAACTCGAAACAACGCTACAGTGAAACATCGACCGACACCCAACAACTGAAACACAGGGGTTTAAATACACAGACAAACAAGCTAAATGAGGGAACAAGGGGGTGTGGTAAATCAGAAACACCTGGGGAAACTTATAAACAAGAAAAACTACAAAGGACTACAAAACATGGCACAGAAACAGGAAATAACTAAAGTCCACACAAGACAAGGAAAACACAAGACAGGAATCGTGACATAGCCCCCCACCTAAGGAGCGGATTCTAGACGCTCAAAAAAAAAACCAAACAAAACATACAAGGCAGGGAACAAAGCGAAATACAGAAACCAGGTAAATGCTCAGACATGCAGTGGACACCAACAAAACTTCGCAATGAGTGAGTGTTTGAACATGGAATAAATACACAGGGACTAACAGGGTGATGAGGTGAATGCAATCAGAGACCAACAAGGTGATGAGACACAGGTGATAATGAGTCCAGGCAGTGTGTGATGGGAAATGTAGTTTTTGAGGAAGTGATCATAGTCTATCCGGAGCACCCTCTGGTGGCTTTCGAGGGCACTCCAGCTGGTGATCGTTACAATAACATTAAAAATGTGATGCGATAAATCAGTTAAGGTTTTATTTAGCTTTCTGAAATATTTTATAATTAGCATATCTTTTTGTGTGCATGTACAGAAGTTTTGTTTACTGTTTTATAAAATGAATTATATTTAGGACATTTTATTTCGTTGATTATTTTGGATTCTCTGATTGATGGATGGATATTTCTTTTTATTATCAGGTTATCCTGTAAACAAAGGTACAGGTAAGCCCAAACCAGTAATATTGTGAATCAATTGTGAAATCTGAATAACACCAGTCTGTTGTCTTTCAGGTGCTTATGGAAGTGCACAAAATAAGCCCGGATATGGAGGTCATCCCCCATATGGTATGAACTTTTTTTTCTTTTCTTTTTTTCTTTTTTTTTGCTTGCACAGTAGCATAAGTACATCATCAGGTTTACCTTTTTGTAAAATATATTTTTTGATTGTTATAAGTTGGAACAGGAATGGTGTGTGTGATATTTAGTGTTTTGTAGTAACACACACATGCAGAAACTACAAAATACAAACTATTTTTGTGAGGGCCCGTTTAAAATCAGAGGAACTATTTTGTGAGTTTAAGTTTTAAACCACCGTAGTGAGGACAAAGACAGTAAAGTAAGGCCAAAATTTTGGTCAGTCTTCACTTACTGAGACCCCTTTTAAGACCGTGGTTAGGGGGTAACCAATTACAATTAAAGTCTATTAAAGTGTTAAAGTGCAATTAAAGTGTCAATACTTCTTCAGCATTTATTAATCTTAGTTAATATTAATTCCAACATTTACTTATACGTTATTAAAATCAAAGGTTGTATTAGTTAACATTGGTTAATGGACTGTGAACTAACATGAACGCACAATGAACAGCTGTATTTGTATTAACTAACATTAACAAAGATTAATAAACAGTGTAACTAATGCATTGATCATCGTTAGTTTATGTTAGTAAATGCATTAACTAACATAAACTAACGATGATCAATGCATTAGTTACACTGTTTATTAATCTTTCTTAATGTTAGCTAATTAACCTTATTGTAAAGTGTTACCCACATTACTTCTAAAAGTAACTTTCCCCAATGCTGTTTAAAGGCCTGTTTGAGGGCCAAGACTTGGTTTTAGGGATAAGGTTAACCTTATGTTAAGAGTAGGTTTAGAGTACACTCTAAAAACTGCTGGATTGTTTTAACCCAAATTTGGGTCAAATATGGAAAAACCCAAATGTTGGGTTAAAAATGTAATTTAAACATTAAACCCAATGGCTGAGTTTGTCCATATTTGACCCAAAGATGGGTTAAAATAACCCAGCATTTTTTGAGTGTAAGGGTTCATGTTAGGTGCTTCGTTGTTAAAGTTTTAGGAGTTAGAGATTGCATTGTCAACGAGTGTTTGTGTGTGTGTGTGAGAGAGAAAGTTTTCAATTGCGCTACTTTCCTGTCATTTATTGTTACAGGTAATGGGAATGGGAACGGCTACCGAGCACCGTCTTTTGGAGGTGAGTTTAATCTCAAGAGCCAATGTGTTAGTTTGTGCATTCAGATTGTGCAAATATTCCAAGAATGTGTACAAACACCATTGTGTTTTGTTTCAGCATATAAAACTTTTGTCGTTGTGCGTTTCCTTTCATTAAAAAGTCTGTTTAATATTGTCTGAAGGCTACAGCAATTTAATGGGCACTCATCCCCAAAAAGGAACTGGTCTAGGTAAGTCTTATCTTAATGTTCTCTTAATGATTAGTTCACCCTGCAAGGTTTTATGTTTTACTTGCTTGCCTCTGTGGAACACAAATGGTATATTTCTGGTATGTCAAGAACCAAATAAGCTACACCACCAATATTGTGTCAAATGTGTTAGAATAGCATATTACCTATAGTCAGTATCAGAAGAACCATTTTTTTTCTCTTTCAAATACCATCAGTCAGTTTGACATGAAATCTAAAGATTTAGCACTGCTTATTTTCAATACAAAATCTCACAAATTTGCAGTACACTATCATTTGATTTTGCTAAAGAAATGTAGAAATGTAAACCAGTCTGGTAACACTTTAGCAATAATCCTTTAACCAGAATTTACACTGTTTCCATTATGAATGTTTTTATAATTGTTTTCTAGGTTATGGCGCTGGATCTGCTGCTGTTAAGGGACAAAACTCAAATCCTGGAGGTAAATTCTTTTTGTATGCAGTATTTTTTAATACATCTTGTCGTTTTGAATTAATTTTATATTATAATATTGCCAGGGATGAAATGAAAATATTATTGAAGTCAGTAAAGTAAAACACTGGTATAAGATTTGATTTGATTTTTTTTTTATTGCAGTCGATACTGTAACTCTGCCCTAGCCTCTGCTCCTTTCTTACAAGAGACATAAAAAATGGATAAATAACAGTAATGCAAATAATGCATTGAGATGATTATCATGATTAGAGATATGTTATATTAAGGTCTGGCTTATGAAATATAATCTAGGTATGAAGAAAAGAGCCCTGGTTTGAGTGTATAATTAATTTTCACCTCAGTTTCTGCAGGATACACCAATGGTGGGGCGACCAAGACACAAAGCAAACAAGGTACATCGAATTTTATTTAGTCACAGCCCATTCTCACCCCAAAGGCGTCACCTAACTGACGCCTTGGGAAGCATTTGACCATGCTTCAATATCTGACGCTTTAGGCGCCCTTTAGTGTCAGTTAGATGACGCCCTAGGATCGCGTGTACCCTACCCCCACCCCACACCTAAACCTAACCGCGTCCTCTAACTGACGCTTTCCTTTAGCGTCAGTTAGATGACGCCGTAGGATCGCATCATGTAAGTGACGCTAAAGGGCGCCTAAAGCGTCAAATATTGAAGCATGGTCAAAGGTGACGCCTTGGGGTGAGAATGCGTTGTTAGTCAACATCTGTAATCAACTATATAATGTGTCTGTAACTGAGCTAACCATATAACCTCTGATTTGCTGATTTGGGATTGGTTTTCTTCAGGATATGGAGGATATCCTAATGGGGGTGCAGCTAACCAGCCTAATACAGGTGATTATATTGGATGTTTAAATAAATTTGATTCTACAGTGTTGTTATTACAGTGTGGAGAGAACTAAATTCTGATAAGAACTCAGGTTAACTCATTAAACAAGTCTAAAAGTATGTTTCACTAATTAGGCTCTTCTCTTTAATGTACAGGGTATCACAATGGTGGAACCAAGGGACCTAAACCAGGTAAATTTTGTGCGCGTTTAGATTAAGGTAACACTTTACAATATGGTTTCACATTAGTTAATACGAACAAACTATACTTAGTTAATTTCAGCATTCACTAATACAATTGTAAGATCAAAAGTTGAATCTAATAACATTAGTTAATGCACTGTGAAACAACATGAACATTTTTAATAACTAACATTTAATTCAAAGGTGAATAAATGCTGTATAAATCTATTGCTCAATTTTAGTAAATGTTAACAAACAAGATCTATTGTAAAGTGTTTCTAATTATCTATATTACCGTGGAGCAGTGGTTAATTGGGGGACAAAGCACTAAAGGTCTGTATTTTAAACTGAGGTAACTGGAGAAGCTCTAAACTAATTTGAGATTGTTTTGTTTTTTCAGGATATGGAGGATATCCTAATGGAGCTGCAGCTAACCAGCCTAATTCAGGTAATACACTGGATGTCACCAGTTCTACAGTGTAATTATTACAGTGTGGAAAATGCTGATTTTTGAAAGGAACTAAGAAAATTACACTTGATTAAAGTATTTTTGTTTAATTAGGCTCTTCTCTTCAAAATATGGGGTATCCCAATGGTGGAACCAAGGGACCTAAACCAGGTAAACTATTTGTGTGTGTATTATTATTTTATTTGTTTCCCCCTTTGTCTGATTTTTCGATATCATTTGAATCGTGTGTCGTGTCTGCTTCAAAGGATATGGTGCTAAAGCTGGACCCTCAAATGGACAAGGGGCTAAGCCTAATGGTAAATAGCATGACATTATTACTATTATAAAACAGTTTTTGTCTCTAAATTCCAGTTGGATAAGTCGTGTTCAAAGCCTCTGTAAAATATATTATAGCTGCACACTATTAGTTTGACTGTACATAAATTGAATTTCTTTATAACATACTAACTGAAGTTTAGAACCAAATAGGTATTATTGGTAGAGAAGTTGTTTATTAGGGAATTAGCATTACATTGTAAACTGAGGTAACCAGAGACCTCTAAACTGATTTAGGACTGGTTTTGTTCAGGATATGGAGGATATCCTAATGGAGGTGCAGCTAATCAACCTAATACAGGTAATACACTGTCATAAAATTACATTAGAGCTGGTGACATCCAGTGTGGAAAATACTGAATTCTGAGAAAAACCTGGGGATATTACACTGGTTTAAAGTATTTTTTTTTTCTTCTTCTAATTAGGCTCTTTTCTTCAAAATATGGGGTATCCCAATGGTGGAACCAAGGGACCTAAGCCAGGTAAACTAATTTGTGTAATGCATATATTGTGTATTTGTCTCATTTGTCTGATTTTTCCATATCATTTGAATCTTATGCACATTGGGTTTGCTTCAAAGGATATGGTGCTAAAGCTGGACCCTCAAATGGACAAGCATCCAAGCCTAATGGTAAATAGCATGTGTTTAATATTACTATTCTAAAACATAGTTTTTGGCTCTAAATTCCAGCTGGATAAGTCACATTCAAAGCCACTGTAAAATATGTTACACAAACACCATTGATTGCACATTAATTAAATTCTTTATTAATAAACCAACTGCAGTATAGCCCCATTTACATTAATATTGTATATTATTAGTTGAGGAATTGTTTATTAGGGGATAAAGCACTAAATGTATTTATTGTAAACTTGAGGTAACCGGAGAACCTCTGAACTGATTTAGGATTGGTTTTGTTCAGGAAATGGAGGATATCCTAATGGAGGTGCAGCTAATCAACCTAATACAGGTAATACACTGGATGTCACCAGCTGTTAAAATCTGTTCTGACACACATAGGTTGAAGATCCAAACGCAGCCTTTATTTAAGGCAATAAACAAGTCATAATTTATAAACAGGCACAGGGTCTAAAACAAGGTCCAAGAAGCATGAGCAAACAAGGTAATCCAAAGAGAAGGCAAAAGATCAAAACCAATAACCTGAAAATAAAGCTTAGAATTAGAATTGCAGTTGTAATCCAAACAAGACTTAGCAACGAATGAGTGAAAACACAGGGCTTATAAAGGCAGAGCTAAACAAGGTAATCAAACACAGGTGAACAGAATCATGCATAATGAGCCAGGCAATGGGTACTGGGACATGGAGTTCATGATGAGGTTGCAAAGCAGAGAGAAGACGACACCAGCTCTAGTACAATGGGCTTTATGCACAGCTGCACTACTTCCTGAACTTAAGCCAGCTCCTTGTTTCCCGTCTGTCATTATTGGCCAAATTGATTAATTCAGGTGTGCCTGACCTCAGTAGTCACGGCAACAATAATCAGACACACCTGAATTAATCAATTTGGCCAATAATGGCAGACGGGAAACAAGGAGCTGGCTTAAGTTCAGGAAGTAGTGCAGCTGTGCATAAAGCCCATTATAACAGTGGGGAAAATACTGAATTCTGCTAAATCAACTGAGGATATTACACTGGTTTAAAGTACTTTTCTCTAAGTAGGCTCTTCTCCTCAAAATATGGGATATCCCAATGGTGGAACCAAGGGACCTAAACCAGGTAAACTATTTTTGTGTGTGTAATGCGTATGTTGTTGTTGTTGTTTTTTTGTTTTTGTTTTTTTCCTGTATAATTTGAATCTTATGTGTTTGGGTCTTCAAAGGATATGGTGCTATAGCTGGACCCTCAAGTGGACAAGGAGCCAAGTCTAATGGTAAATAGCATGTCATTATTACTATATTAAAACAGTTTTTGTCTCTAAATTCCAATTGGACAAGCCACATAAAAAGCCACTGTAATATATGATATACAAACACTTTTGATTGGACATTAATTGAATTCTTTTTATCAATAAACCAACTAGCCCCATTTACTTTAATAATGTATATTATTGGTAGAGGAATTGTTTAGGGGACAAAGCACTAAAGGCCTGTATTTAAACTGAGGTAACTTGAAAACCTCTAAACTGATTTAGGTTTGGTTTTGTTCAGGATATGGAGGATATCTTAATGGAGGTGCAGCTAATCAACCTAATACAGGTAATACACTGGATTTCACCAGCTCTAGTGCAATTAGTTAAGTGTGGAAAATGCTGAATTCTGAAAAGAACTGAGGATATTACACTGGTTTAAAGTACTTTTCTCTAATTAGGCTCTTTTCTTCAAAATACAGGGTATCCCAATGGTGGAACCAAGGGACCTAAACCAGGTAAACTATTGTTGAGTATGTGTAATGCGTATTGTGTTTATTTTCATTTCCTCTGTCTGATTTTTCCATATCATTTGAATCTTATGTGTGTGGTCTGTTTCAAAGGATATGGTGCTAAAGCTGGACCCTCAACTGGACAAGCAGCCAAGCCTAATGGTAAAGAGCATGACATTATTACTATTAAAAAGCAGTTTTGGCTCTAAATTCCAGTTGGATATGCTGCATTCAAAGCCACTGTAAAATATGAAATCCGCACACATTTAGTTTGACAACACATTAATTAAATTTATTTATATACACCAACTCTAGTTTAGCCACATTTAAATGAATAATCTGCATTATTGGTGGAGAAGTTGTTTATTAGGGGTAAAGCACTAAAGGTCTGTTTTGTAAACTGAGGTAACCGGAGAACCTCTAAACTAATTTGGGATTTTTTTTTTTTCAGGATATGGAGGATATCCTAACGGAGGTGCAGCTAACCAACCCAATACAGGTAATACACTGGATGTCACCAGCTCTACAGTGTAATTATTATGTGGAAAATACTTAATTTTGAAAAGAATGATGATATTACACTGGTTTAAAGTACTTTTCTCTAATTAGGTTCTGCTCTTCAAAATATGGGATATCCCAATGGTGGAACCAAGGGACCTAAATCAGGTAAACTATTTTTGTGTATGTAATGCATATATTGTGTTTTTATTTATTTTTTTGTCTGATTTTTCCATATCATTTGAATCTTTTGTGTGGTTTGCTTCAAAGGATATGGTGCTAAAGCTGGCCCCTCAAATGGACAAGGAGCCAAGCCTAATGGTAAATAGCATGTGATTATTACTATTATAAATTCCAGTTGGATAAGCCACATTTAAAGCCACTGTAAATATTATAGTCTATACAAACACATTTGATTGCTCATTAATTAAAATTATTTATTAATAAACCAACTTTAGCGTAGCTCCATTTAGATTAATAATGGATATTGATGGAGGATTTGTTTATTAGGGGATAAAGCACTAAATGTCTGTATTGTAAACTGAGGACTTCTAAACTGATTTGAGATTGGTTTTGTTCAGGAAATGGAGGATATCCTAACGGAGGTGCAGCTAACCAGCCTAATACAGGTAATACACTGGATGTTACCAGCTGTAACAATATTCCCTGACACACACAGATTGAAGATCCAAACACAGCTTTTATTTAGGGTAATCCACAGTCATAATACATAAACAGGCACTGGGTTAAAAACGTGCAAACAATCCAAACATAAAACACAGGCAAACAAGGTAATCCAAAGAAAAGGCAAAAGATCAAAACCAATAACCTGAAAAGAAAGCTCAGAATTGCAGTTGTAATCCAAACAAGACTTTGCAACGAATGAGTGAAAACAAAGGGCTTATAAAGGCAGAGCTAAACAAGGTAATCAAACACAGGTGAACAGAATCACACATAATGAGCCAGGCAATGGTTACTGGGAAATGGAGTTCATGATGAGGTTGCAAAGGAGACAGAAGACGACACCAGCTCTAGAACAATTATAACAGTGTGTAAAATACTGAATTCTGAAAAGAACTGAGGCTATTACACTGGTTTAAAGTACCTTTCTCTAATTAGGCTCTTCTCTTCAAAATATGGGACATCCCAATGGTGGAACCAAGGGACCTAAACCAGGTAAACTATTTCTGTGTGTAATGCATATATTGTGTATTTTTGGCCATATCATTTGAATCTTATGTGTGTTGTGTCTGCTTCGAAGGATATGGTGCTAAAGCTGGACCTTCACCTGGACAAGCAGCCAAGCCTAATGGTAAATAGAATGACAATGCGTCTCATTCACTTATAATTGCGTAGATTATTTTGTATTAGTACGCACAGAGGAGAACTTTTCATGAAAAATCTTTGTCTAATTGACAACACGTTCAACTTCATACAAGCATGAATTTGTTCTTAATATCGTTCTGATGTTAGAAAATTTGGAGTAGCTATGAGCAACTGCGTTCAAAATATTAGTCATTTGCATAATACAAGCCCAAACCATCTCCATAAGGGATTTCCGTACATGCTTTTACATCGCTCTAGTCAAACTTGCCGCTGTTTGCTGATGAGTTCTTGCCCGTTTTCGAGCAACGCCTAGTGTGCCATTCTCACGAGTTCTTACAGTAAACACCTTTTATTCAAACCCAGCTTACAGACCTCTCTTGAGCCGCTTTTCTTACTGTTAAACTGTAGAAATGGAATGTATTTAAGATTAAATTAAATTGTATTATTCAATAATTGTGTTATGTAGTTTTATAAATATTATATATATATAATACAATTAATACAACATACTTCAAGTTTAATATAATTATAGTCGTGTTAGGATGATATATAACTTGACACGATTATAAGGCCGTACAGACTAGGTGTTTTTTGTATGGTTTCAGTTCCTTTATTTTTTCGTAAATCAACCCGGTCTCATCCCAAGACGTCATATAACTGACGTTTTGGGACGTCTTTTGACCATACGTCAATATTCGCCTTTTTAGGGCCCCCTTAAACGTCGGTAGATGAGGTTATGGGATCCTAACTCTACCCCATACCTAAACCTAACCCTAAACCTAACCCGTCACCTAACTGACGTTAAAGGTAAAGCGTCAGTTGTATGACGGCCCAGGGATCGCCATCTACCGACGTTTAAGGGGGCCCTAAAAAGGCGGATATTGACGTATGGTCAAAATACGCCCCAAGACGTCAGTTATATGACTTTTTGGGATGAGACTGTGTTACGTAAATTTAGAATACATTTTATTAGGAAATTTTTGGTAAATCTGTATTTCTTAAAATCGTTTTCACTCACAAATTAGTGAATCTGACCAAATTTTACTATTATAAAACCGTTTTTTGACTATAAATTCCAGTTGGATAAGCCACGGCCATTGTAAAATATATCAGCCCACCTTTAGTTTGACTGCCCAGTGCCCATTAATAGAATTTCTTTATAATACACCAACTGTAGTTTATTCCCATTTAGATTAATAATCTGTTTTATTGGTGGAGAAGTTCTTTATGAGAGGTAAAGCACTAAAGGTCTGTATTGTAAACTGAGAAACTCTGAACTGATTTAAGTTTGGTTTTCTTCAGGAAATGGAGGATATCCTAATGGAGGTGCAGCTAACCAACCTAATACAGGTAATACACTGGATGTCACCAGCTCTTGTGCAATTTGTTAAGTGTGGAAAATACTTAATTTTATAAAGAACTGAGGATATTACACTGGTTTATTTTTTTTAGGCTCTTCTCTTCAATATGTGGGGTATTCTAATGGTGGAACCAAGGGACCTAAACCAGGTAAACACGTATTGAATGTGTTATGCATATAGTGTGTATTTATTTTGACATTATTACTATCATAAAACATATTTTTTGGCTCTAAAATCAGGTTGGATGAGTCATGTTTAAAGCCACTGTAAATACATATCTGCACACCTTTAGTTTGATTGCACATTTTATAATGAACCAAATGTAGTGTAGCCCCATTTAGATTAATAATCTATATTATTATTGGTGTAGTTGTTTGAGTTAACACAGTCTCATCCCAAGTCCTCATATAACTGACGTCTTGGGACGTCTTTTGAATGACCATACGTCAACATCCGCCTTTTTAGGTAACACAGTCTCATCCCAAAAAGTCATATAACTGACGTCTTGGGGCGTATTTTGACCATACGTCAATATCCGCCTTTTTAGGGCCCCCTTAAACGTCGGTAGATGGCGATCCCGGGCCGTCATACAACTGACGCTTTACCTTTAACGTCAGTTAGGTGACGGGTTAGGTTTAGGGTTAGGTTTAGGTATGGGGTAGAGTTAGGATCCCATAACCTCATCTACCGACGTTTAAGGGGGCCCTAAAAATGCGAATATTGACGTATGGTCAAAAGACGTCCCAAAACGTCAGTTATATGACGTCTTGGGATGAGACTGGGTTGTTTTAGGGTACCCTTAAACTTCGGTTATTTGACGATCCCGGGCCGTCATACAACTGACGCTTTACCTTTAACGTCAGTTAGGTTTAGGGGTAGGTTTAGGTCTGGGGTAGGGTTAGGATCCGATAACGTCATCTAACCAACGTTTAAGGGTACCCTAAAAAGGCGGATGTTGACGTATGGTCAAAAGACGTCCCAAGACGTCAGTTATATGACGTCTTGGGATTTCAGTAAAGCACTAAAGGTCTGTATTGTAAACTGAGGTAACTGGAGAACCTCTAAACTGATTTAGGTTTGGTTTTCTTCAGGATATGGAGGATATACTAATGGAGGTGCTGCTAACCAACCTAATACAGGTAATACACTGGATGTCACCAGCTCTACAGTGTAATTATTAAGTGGAAAATACTTAAATCTGAAAAGAATGATGATATTACACTGGTCTAAAGTACTTTTCTCTATAGGCTCATCACTTCAAAATGTGGGATATCCCAATGGTGGAACCAAGGGACCTAAACCAGGTAAATGCTTATTGTGTGTGTTATGCATATAGTTTAAGTTCATTTTATTTATATAGCACATTTTACAACAGCCACTGGCTAACCAAAGTGCTTTACAGAATTAGCAGAATTAAAAGAAAATAACACCTGCATAACAACACAACACAAATAAGTGCAGAAAAGCTAAGAGCAGCCTTAAAACAGGAGTAGAGAAACAGTATCAGGCTCAAATATAAAATAGAAAAACAGAGATGGCTGTATCAGACTGTATTTTGGCAGTATTTTCAAAAAAATGGAAAAACAGTATCAGATTTTCTGGAAGGGACTTAAGAACAAATAATTTTTATCAGCTGAAAGGCAGAACACAATGTTTTATATAGTTAGATAGACCTTATTTAACAATTTCAGGGTATGTTTTAGTGTTGGTAACATGTCCCAAACAAACTTATAATCGTCCCACATTTGGTTTGTTTGGTGGTCACCCTGATCAGCCTAAAAAAAAAAAAACTAAAAAAAAAAAAGTAAGTCAGATGTGGCAAGGCAGTAGCAGCCTCAAAACGAACCAACCTTAATTATAGGCCATGGAACCACAGAAAATGCCCAATCCCCTCTGTGTTTGAATCTTGAATGTGGGACGAATAACAGGTACTTGTTGCTTGATCTCAGACTTCTAAAAGGAGTATATGGTTGCAGTAGTTCAAATAGATAGATGGAGGTTTGGTTACATAGAGATTTAAAATCAGTTCTTAAATTAATGGGCAGCCAATGAGCTGATCCCAGAATAGGGGGGATATGGGTGCTTTTACAGCTATTAAAAAGGAATCTTGCAGCAGCAGTTTGCACTAATTGAAGACGAGCAATTTGAGGCTTTGAAATCCCGCAGTAAAGTGAATTGCAGTAGTTTGACGGTGATAAAAGCATGAACAGCCATCTCTAGTTATGATTAAGAAAAGGTTTGACTTTAGACAGCAAACAAACTTGATAAAAACTAGAGCTTATTACAGAGCAACTTTGTTTATCAAAGTTTAGATATCTAGTAAAGCGCCCAGGTTTCGTACTCATGAAGATCTAAAAGCAGATAGTCTGGCCAACTCGAAGGTAGCAGCATGAGAATCAACGGTGGGCCCAAAAACGATCACCTCCATTTTGTTTTCTTCTAAAATTAAAACATTTTTGGCCAGCCAAGATGTAACTTCATCTAGGCAACTTAGTAATGATGATGAAAAAGCAAAAGGATAATTTCTCTTGATTCCTCAATCAAATATATATTTGTGTATTGTCCGCATAAGAGTGAAAAGGTACCCAGTGTCTTCTTAGACTGGTGCCCAATGGTAACATGTACAGAGAAAAGAGAGAAGGCGCCAAGATAGATTCTTGAGGAAGACCACAGGCTAGATGCGCAACAGAAGTGGAAAAATTGCCTAAATTGACTTGGAAATTTCAATCAAAGTCTAGAGATAGGACTGGAACCACTGGAGGATAATACTCTAGATATACTCAACTCTAAATCAGGGTCAAAAGTGTCAAAGGCTGCTGATGGATCTAAGAGTACAAGAACTACAGAGTCACCAGTGTCAGTGGATAGATAAATGTCATTTAAAACCCTCAAGAGGGCAGATTCAGTACTGTGAGCAGACTTAAAACCAGATTGAAATCTTTCAGAAATTCCATTGAACTTTAGAAAAGAATGGAGTTGGTCAAAAACAACACTTTGTGAACAACACTTTTGAAACAAAGGTAGTGCAGAAATAAGATGAAAGTTTTTTTAGATTAGCAGGATCAAGTGAAGTTTCTTTATTATTTGAAATCGTTTGTGTGTGTGTGTGGTTTGCTTCAAAGGATATGGTGCTAAAGCTGGAACCTCAAATGGACAAGGAGCCAATCCTAATGGTAAATACCATGTGATTATTACATGCTTTGGCTCTAAAATCTAGTTAGATAAGCTGTTTTAGAAGTAAAATATGATGTTCGCCCACATTTGATTCCACATTGAATTCTTTATTAATAAACCAACTGTAGTGTAGCCCCATTAATAATTCGTTAATTAATTATTAATAATGTATATTATTGGTAGAGGAATTGTTTATTAGGCACTAAAGGTCTGTATTGTAAACTGAGGTAACCTCTAAACTGATTTAGGTTTGGTTTTGTTCAGGATATGGAGGATATCCTGATGGAGGTGCAGCTAACCAGCCTAATTCAGGTAATACACTGGATGTCACCAGCTCTACAGTGTAATTATTACAGTGTGAAAACTGCTGAATTCTGAAAGGAACTGAGGATATTACAATTGATTAAAGTACTTTTTCTCTAATTAGGTTCCTCACTGCAAAATATGGGGTATCCCAATGGTGGAACTAAGGGACCTAAACCAGGTGAACTCTTTGTGTGTAATGTGCATTTATGTGTTTTGTCTTCTTTTTCTGTATTATTGTATTCTTATGCGTGTTGCATCTGCTTCAAAGGATATGGTGCTAAAGCTGGACCCTCAAGTGGACAAGGAGCCAAGCCTAATGGTAAAGAGCATTTGATTATTACTATTGTAAAACTATTATATATGGTTTGTGACTCTAAAATCTGGTTGGATAGGCTGCTTTTGAAGACACTGTAAAATATGACATCCGCACACATTTGATTGCACATTAGTTGAATTCTTTATTAATAAACCAACTGTAGTGTAACCCTATGTATATGTCGGTGGAAGAGTTGTAGGTTACACTGTATTTCGATTGTCACTTTAGACGTTTTACTAATTATAAGTAACTTTTCAACTACGTGTCAACTAACTCTCATTATAGTATTAGTATATTAGTGTAGACTGTCTGTAGACTGTTGGGTTATGGTTAGGTATTAGGCTTTGGGTTAGGAGAATAAGTTGACTTGTAGTTGCTAAGTTACTTACAGTCAGTTGAATGTCTGTTGGGGGACCAACAAAATAAAGTGTTAGCAGATATTAAGCTAACAGTCTACTTATACTCTAATGACAGGTAGTTGACATGTAGTTGAAAAGTTACTTAGAATGTCTAAAGTGGACTATCGAAATAAAGTGTTACCGAGTTGTATATTATGAGTAAAGCATTAAAGGCATTGCAAACTGATTTGGGATTGGTTTTCTTCAGGATATGGAGGATATATTAATGGTGGTGCAGCTAACCAACCTAATACAGGTAATACACTGGATGTCTCCAGCTCTAAAGTGTAATTATTAGTGTGTGGAAACTGCTGAATTCTGAAAAGAACTGAGGATATCACACTTGATTAAAGTATTTTTCTCTAATTAGGCTCCTCACTTCAAAATATGGGGTATCCCAATGGTGGAACGAAGGGACCTAAACCAGGTTAAAAAAAAAGTTTATTTTTTATTTTATTTCTTTTTTACTTTGTCAGATTTTTCTGTATTATTTGAATGTTACGTTTGTTGTGTCTGCTTCAAAGGATATGGTGCTAAAGCTGGACCCTCAACTGGACAAGCAGCCAAGCCTAATGGTAAATAGAATGACATCATTATTAGTATAAAACATGTTGGATAAGCCGTTTTCAAAGCCACCATAAAATATGAGATATCTGTGCATTAAGTGAATTATTTATTTATAAACAATTGTAGTGTATTCCCATTTAGATTAATAATTTATATTATTTAGGTTTTTATAGGGGTAATGTACTATAGGTATAAAGACGCATGTTTTTTTTTTTTTTTTTTAAACCATATTTTACATATTTCAGTGTACAGAATTTTAGGTCCAGTTTTAAACAAACAAACTCTAAAACCAGCAGTTATAACATATTACATATCTTGTGATCTATAGGTTATGGTGTTCCTGGATATATGTCAAAAGGACCTTATAAAGCAGCAAATTCAGGTAAAATCATGCTTATTTAAAGTGGATTTTATTTACTTCCTCCACATGACATGAATAGAAGTTCTGTCATTTAGAAATGCACGTTAGGTCTCGGCATGCGAGTTTGTCATATTGACTTGTTAATATAAATTTGTTGTAAAATTACTTTGACTTCTAGGTTATATGCCTGTAACAACTGGAAAACAGGGTGCTTCCAGTGGAAATGGACCTAAAGGAGAGATTTTAAGCCGTGGAGGACAAAGTCATGCCCCAGTAACTTCTAACACCAAGGGATTTTTACCACTATCTGGACATGAGCAAAATATAGGATTACGTCCAGGACAAACTAAAGACGTTTCACCAGTTCTGCAACAAACAAAGGGACAAAATCTTCATCCACAGGGCAAAGCCCCCAACTCTATGGCACCTTGGCCTGCTCCAAATCCATTTATGCAAGGTCCTGGTTCATATAAACCTAGTAAAGCTTACAAACCAAAACCAGTTGCAACAGTAGCCTCTCAATCAATCTCTGCAGAATCAGCTCCCATTCCTCAAACATCACAGACAGTTGGACTAGAGCAGGAACAAGTCCTTTCACAGGAACAAAACATAAGGCCAGAGTTACCACAAGCCAGAATTTCTTCACAGGTGCCTTTAGTGCCAGGATCAGCTCAATCAACCACAGAGATACAACAATCCAAGATTCAGTCAAACAAGCCTGTGCCTCAAATGAAGAATCCAATGGCAAATCCTGGTAAACTTTAATAGTTTCACATTAAAACCTTATATGATAATCCTGAAACCATACAACAGCTTGAAGCTACACCACTTCTGCAACTAAATCACAACTGTATAAAATTCCCTTATTCCATTTTTTTTCTCTACTTTTCTGCATTAATTCGCTGCTCTAGCTTTTGTACTAATCCGTTTTATTCATTAATCCAGTTCACCCGACATTGTGCTCTGCAAATGTTATTTGTCATTTATAAATTATTTGTGTTATTGCAGAAAAATTGTGATTAATGTAAATGTTATCTCAAAATGGCTAATTCTGCTGTCCTGTCAGCTTGAAGTCAAACAATCTTAGCTATTTTTTGACTAATCTTTGTTATATTGTTGTAAACTTTGGTGCTAAACTCTACTTTGGCATTACACATTTTAGATTTTAGAACCATCTAATGTTCTATATTGGATTGATAGCATTCAAAACCTTTCACTAATTAAATTTCACAATGAGCAAGTAGACTTAAAGTAGGCTGGATTTTTATGATTTATATTCAATCAGTCCAAGGAAATAGGTGGGCATTTTGATCCCTACTTGATAATTCTGGCTGTGATGCAAACAGTCATTGATTAGCATAATTAAAACTATCTATTGTACAAATAGTTTATAAATGCATGCTCATGCATTTACAAGAAATGTAGGGCATACATATTTACCCTCCACCACCCAACAGTATTAACAGATCTTTAACAAATCAACTAGACATATTTAATAAAACCCTGAATTTTCAACCTGATCTCACAGGAAAACGGTACGAGGTGGTGATTTTGTACAATGTGAATCATACAAAAACAATGTTATTAGAAAAAAAGTAAGCATGAAGGTCCATTGCTTTAGCGTAAGCAAATCGTATAAAAATGCACGAACGAGATTGTATGAATTCATACGAATTAGCCCCACACGGCATTTTGAAAAATAGTTTTAAATTGGGTTTTGAATTTCTCTTGGAATCATTCTCCTAACAATTTCCTTTCTAATACAATATGCCTGTATAACAACTCAGATAGTGATATCAGGGCAACTTAACTGGATAAGTAAATTTAGTTTATTGATAACTTGTTTGTTTTCTACAGAACTCACTCATCTGGGACAACCAAATGGACAGATGCAGGGAGCTATACCTTCAAAGCCTGGTAAATCCTAAATAATAATCCATTGATATAACATAAAATCACATTAAATTTGCTGGGCTCTTATAATTCAAAACTACTTTTGGATTAATATCAAACTATTTAATATTTTAGCAGGGCTCTTATAATCCAAAACTACTCTTGGATTGATATCAAACTACTTAATATTTTATCAAACTATTTAATTTTTTTCTTTTTTTTTAGATTGTGGACCTGGAGGACAACCTAATGGGCAATGGGTCAAACTTCCAAGTCTTGGTGAACTCTCATTTTCCTCCCACTTGTTTATTGTCATATAAATTATTGGCAATGCTTACCAAAATGCTTACTTTGACTTCTAAACAGTTGTGAAGACCAAGCAGCAGCAAAAAAAAAAAAAAAAAAAAAAAAAAAAAAAAAAAAAGATCTAAAACTAAAAATGTGTTTTTTATAGGGTATCCGAATGGAAAAGGAGAAGTTGCTTCACAACCAGGTGCATTAATTTCCATGTTAACATTAACTATCCATCTAACCATAACATAATTTTAACCACTTTGGATAAAAATATTTCACTATAGGCTATGGAGCAGGAATGGGTGGTTATCCAGCTCATGGTATGAATAATGGCTACAAAGCAGGTAAAGCATTACAAAACACATTTTATTGTAATTATAATGACTTATTATTTGGCTTCATCTTTGCAATGTCTATATCAAGGTGTTTGCTTGTCTAAAATTAAATGAAAAATTTGACCCTCATTTTGCTGTCTTTTAAAGGTTATGGAGGCTATGGAAACCAATTGAAAAATCCAGGTTGGAATATTTCACTTTATGGATATTTCAAATATCTTTTTCTTTTTTAACATGGAGACAATTCACATGTCCATTTATTAAATATATGCTTTAGTCCTTGGGTGTCAATAGTCTGGGCATTTTAGTGCAATACCATATCCTACAACAAAATAAATAATAAATAGAAATTTAGATATTAATGCTTTTAAGTTTTGTTTAAATAAATAGGTATCCGTTTGAAAAAAAATACAAAATTAAAATTACACCAGTATTTCTGTGAATAATTACAGTACTTTCTTTACCCTTGTGATTCAGAATGTATACTGCTTGTATGCTGTCTACTATTTTTGTTTAAGTGAAACAGTATGCCATATGCTATGATAAACGTTTCACACACTAGTATGCTACATTTCACAAGACCTGTTCAAGTGAATTTGTGTGTAGTAAGTAAATTTTTTGCCCTCTTGTTTTCTGTGCTAGACATTTAGAAGAAACAGTTTGATTTATATATTAGTTAATATTTACTCTTTTCGCTTACTCTGATAGCTGGACCACAAGGTGAGCAACCAACAGGATTTAAGGGAAAATCTCAAGCGAAATATGGTAAGTGTGAGAAGAAACCTATCAGCTCATATTAAAACGACTCATCAGAAATGCTGCACACTTGCATTTACACAGTTTTCATAAGCAAGGTCGTATTTTACAGGAATTGGTGGACTTCCATTTGGTGCTTCCCCAAATGGATATCAAACAAACCCCTCTGGACAATATGGTATGCTATCTTTATAATATTTGAGTTAGTATTGACCCTAACTGTAATCCTGACTGGACACATGGATTCATGTGCATCTTTCTCATAGGTAATGATGGTCAGCGCTATGGAGCCAAATCCTACAATCCTAAAGCGTTTGGAAAATACGGTGAAGATAGATGCTTTGATATTCCTTTACACTTTTTCGTAACTTTTTGTATGCGTTTATCAGTTGACAGGCAGTTTGTAGAATTTCCCTACAGATTGTGGTAGAAATGAACATTTACTTTAATAATAAATAAAATTGTGATAAAACACATTTAAAAAATTTGCAAAATTGTATTCTTTAAAGCTGCAGTCTGGCATTTTTCCTCTTTGTCGCCATCTCTGTTCGAAATCTGCAATTGCAGTCATTTGGAAAATTATCAACTTTACGTGAGTTGTACTTCAGCCCTTGACACGGCCAGCCGTTCTCATCCTTTAACGTCATATAGAACGCTATATGCAAAAACGGCGCTGTACTACGCACATGGCACCCTTTATCGTTAATATAACACGGGAACCCAAGACGTCATAAATCCTTTAGCGTGAATATGACACGCACACCCTACCCCACACCTAAACTTAGCCCTCACAGCGCGTGTTATATTAACGATAAAGGGTGCCATGTGCGTAGTATAGCGGCGTTTTTTCATATAGCGTTCTATATGATGTTAAAGGATGAGAATGCGTTGACACGGCACAGGGTGGATGAACACAATGTTTGAGGAGAGTGTGAGGCTGTCAGTCACCGCTCCGGTGTGGATACTGGCATTCAGAATCACAGATTATTCTTTTTGGAAGTATGACCAACATACTAATTGGCAATTAAAAAAATCTGAACTAGTAAGAAACATCCACCTTTTTTCTGGTTCTGACATTGCAGTAAATCGCGCTGATTAAATTTAACAAATCACTTAAGTTATCATATCACGCAGCACCGTGTAAATTATACTTTGTCCTCAAATTGTTAATGTTAACAACGTCAGCATTGCGTGACCTACATGTGTTGTCCTTCCGATATGTATCCATGTTTTCGCTTGGGTCCGGTTGCAGTCTCTTTTTTTCTGTAGACACTTTGATGATATGCATTTTACAGCGGTTGAATCTCTAGTTGTCACTGGTTATAGTCGTTTGAACCTTTCTGGATCCGCCATCAAATTAATAAGTTTAATTATATCAAGTGCGGTGAGAAAAGGCTGTAAATCTCCACCTCTAACATCCTCACGCAATATAGCTTATACTAGCCGTGACTCCTTCTTTATGTGTACAGATGTGACGTAATGACGCTCGAATTCCCCTGGAAATCCACCAGTACCACTGGAATTATTATTATCATTATTACAAGCTACCGTTTTGAATCGAGCACTGGCTGGTTATGTATTTTCTCATATGTATTTTGGATCATTTTTAAGCCCCCAAAAAGCTACGGACTGCAGCTTTAAGATCTCTACTTTTGAAATCAATATTTGATGGAATAGCTGACATGACAGTTGGGAACCCTTGCATCTTATATATATATATTTGTTCTCTTACCGCAAAATAGGACACGGTAGTTTACCGTACAACTCTCAGCCTTTACTTCCTGAATCTGTTGCCAGGTCCTCTGGTAAATACGGTAAATTAATAAAGAATTTTGTCTGATCATACAACACATATTTATTGTAGGTTTTTATAAAATAGAAATTTCTGTATTTTCAGATTTTGGCGGGTTACCCTACAATGGCCAGCCACATGGATATGGTAGTGACAAATACAGTACTTTGGCAAATAGAGACTGTTATTGAGATAGAGATTGTATTGTTTTATTTCTAGAAATTATGACGTTGTACTGTAATTCTCTCTCAGGACAAAAGGGTCTTCAAAATGGTGGTCAGCCACTTGATCTCAGGCCTGATGCTGTGTCTGGAAAATATGGTCAAGGTGAGTTATTTTTTTAAAGATAATTTAAATGACAACCACTAATGTCATATTACTGTTCTGATATAGGTATGTGCATCCTCTCTATTCCCTGTAGGTTCTCCAGAATCCCTGTATAATCCAGAAACAATCAGTTTCGGTGGCGATGCTAACTATGGTGCGATTATTATCTTTTTTTACCTTACTTATTGATACTCTAGTATAAAGATCCTTTTCATCATTTCTTTCCATGTGAATTGTCAAACAGCATACAGTTAGGCTAACGAGAAAGTAATAATTGTTTTGTACTTGCGCTTGGTAAAATCACTGTATGGTTTACAGGTAATCCAGCAGTGTCATATGAACTCCTTGGCCCAGTGACTGATGGCCAGTCTGTTGATGGTACGTTCATCTCTTATTTATGTAGAACACTGGCAAGAACTATTGAAATACTTTCCAATAGTTAAATGAAGAAAATGTTGAATGAAGACGTTGTTATTATTGGAATTTAAACTCAGAAGTTTTACTGCTATCATTTAATCCTCTCTTTTGTTTTTCTTTTACAGAAAATAGAAGCCTGGAGACTTTGCATCAAGGTCCTGAGATTGATGGACAGAAAGCCATTGACCAATATGGTTAGTTGTATTTTGAGATATACAGATATCTATGTTCATTTAAGTTTAGGCTGTGTTTACACTCGTAGTTTTTACTCAGGATATTGTTAAACGTGTTAATTCTGGGTTTTTTTTCTTATCTGTTCTGAGTCACATGCAAATGTGGTTTTAAATGAGATACATATCTGATATATGGACATCTGACCTACTGTTAAACATGTATTCCCATTGGAAATCCAAGCCACCACAAGGCGAGGGAAACATTTCCCCACAAAGATAACTTTTCTTCCTCTCATATTATGATATACTGTAGACATGCCTGATTTTCTCACACAAAAACACAGCTTCTTTTGAGGTGAACATTTTATATATAAATATATATAAGACTACGCACTTCTCATTCAGAAGCACTGAACCTTATTTTGAGCTGGAGCCCTTTTCTACTTAACGCTACATTACAATTTGGTGATAACTTTGCTGTTTTGGAAGTAATTAAACTTCACTATAGAGACGCTGGACAGACACAGTAATTCCCACACAGTCTTTTCTAAAAATCTCATGAATTCCGAAAAGACTGGTCAGACTTGGGTCACTTTGCAAATCATCGGACGTAGGACCACATATAAGTGGCCCGAATCAGAATCGAAAAGATCCGATTCCATGTGGTTTGTGCTGTTCACTCTGTCAAGACAAAAACAGATGTCGCATATATACAAAAAAAAAAAAAAGATGTTCACACTGCAAGCCTTATGGCTGGTTCACACAATCAGAACACTCTTTTGCTGTTAAAAATCCGAGAAGCAGTGGAATGGGGAAAAACGGCAAGGTCATGATATGTCTATTTTAACTTGAACACTGTGTTTTTAGAACACTGTGTCATGCGTGAGATGTAAAACACAAGCACAACAGTCAAACACGTCATGTTCTAGCGCATGTTTACATAGAAAAATAATGGAAAAGTGGTGCAGTGGAATGGAACTGGTGGAACTGTTACTGAACCGCATGCACAAAAGACCACTGACAAAGACAGCCATGGCAAGCTGCCATATGGAAGAAAACACAGAGGCCACTGAAGGACGCAGATGAGAATGAGGAGAATTTTTTTTCTCATAGTTTTTCTTCATTTTTCGCCTGTATAGAGCTGTCACCGTAATAATTATGAGTATAACAGCTCACTCCACTAACTAACTTTCTGCCGTCAACCATATTCACACATTAATTCTGTGTGTTTGTGCTTGATTCAGGAGATGGAGAGGTTCAACCCCATCCTGATGCTCCAGAAGCTGGATATGCAAATGCACAATCCATCGAGAAATATGGTACAAGCATTTTTTGATACTATGTATATCTACCAGGATGAGGTGTGTAAATCTGCATATAAACATCTCTCACCCTCTTTTTTTTAAGGAACTGGGGATTATACAAATGGAAGAATACAGCCAGAAGGTAAAAGTAATGTTCAAAACTCTGCTTCTCTGAATGTTGCAAATCCTGTATTTACAGATATATTTATATATCTGTAAATATCTATATAATCGCAGGATTTATTAATTGTGCCGACCAGGATCAGAAATGAACTTTTCCAGAATTTCCCCCCCAGAATTGATTTCCAGTGACTTTTTTTTTTACCTTTAAGCCAATTTTAATAATTACATCATTAAATGTATCTATCTTTGTCAAAAACTAAAATGTAGCTAATTACTTCAATAAACCAGAATACTGTTATTATTAGCATCAACAAAAACCACTTCACAACACTGCAAAGGTGGAACTAAGGCTGCATCTGACAGCATTTATGTCTATGTACACTGTTTAATGCTGCTCAAAGGTGGCATACATGTAGTTACACAACAACTGCATGAATAAAAAGCCTACATAAATTGTATATATTAAAAAAAACTCATTATAGGGTAAGGCTGCAATATTATGAATAATCATTATTGTTGATAATTGCTCTTGATATTGTTTTAATAACTATTCATTTTGATTGATATAATTATAATACAAAAACATTTGTGTTTGAGGAAACGGCACATCGTATTAGGTTGGCTACACAAATGAAACAAGCTTATGAAGAACCGTTTATGAATTGGTGTTGCTCTGCTCCGAGACTCGGGTGCAATGCATACAAGACTTTGCAAAGTAAGAGTGAATACACATGGCTTATATAGACAGAGCTAACCAGATAATGAAACACAGGTGGAAGTAATCAAACCACAATGAGTCCAGGAAATGGGTTATGGGAAATGTAGTTCATGATGAGATAAAGCAGATGGAAGGAGTGTCCTCTGGTAAAGATCAAGGGCACTCCAGCTGGTAGTTGTGAATTAGTTTATGGCTTATTACACATTAGATAATCAATACTTCACATTGTTGTTGTTTTTTTAAGTAGCTTGAACAATAACAGTTTATTCCCAGTAAAAAAAAACAAAAAAAAAAAAAACGTCTCCATCTCTGGAGCGTCTCTTATAGCTAAATCTATTATAATCACTAAGCTGTTTACACTGCTAAATGAATGTCTAACATCATATCTGCATTTTGTTGTGTATGATTCAGCTGCTTTTCAGACGTGAATAATCTAAACACCTTTGATTGGCTATGGCATTTATAAAATCAACAGAAATGTGATATTATATATAATACACAATACTGCAAAATGATTTCACATGAATTGCAACAGTCGTAATTGATTTACCTAAATTGTAGAGGGGCATTTTATCCACTTAAAGGGTTAGTTCACTCAAAAATTTAAATTGGCAACTCTTCCTTTTACAGTACAGTACTTACAGTGTACTTACCTAGAAAGTATTGCTAATATAAGGTAAGTACGTGGAACAGGGGTAGGTTTAGGGGTAGGTTCAAGGTTAGTACTAGTTATTACCCAGTAATTGTAGTTACTAAAATAAGTACATAGAATTTACATGGGTAACTGGACTGTAAAAGGAAGCGTTACCTGAAAATTCTGTCAGTATTACTTACCCTCATGTTGTTCCAACCCCGTAAGACCTTCGTTCATCTTCGGAACACAAATTAAGATATTTTTGATAAAATCTGAGAGCTGGATCACTCCTGCATACTAGTCCATAGGCTTCTTGAGGAATTGAAACTTGCCAGCCTCAAAGTTATTGAAGACATTGTTAAAATAGTCCCAGTGACTACAGTGGCTCAATCTTAAGTTTATCAAATGATGAGAACACTTTTTGTGCACAAAAAACAACAAAAATAACAATTTTATTTTAACTATTCATTCTACTTCTCTCTCTGCCTCGAGTCAGTTTACTAGTTTAACAGTGTATGATCTGTTGTACGTCACACGCATCACACACATGACTAGCATCGGCCAATAGTGCGCCTACGTGTGACGTAGCTCTATGCTAACCCACTACGTTAACTGACTAGAGGTGCAAAGAGAAGGAAGTGAATAGTTGAAGTAAAGTCGTTATTTGTGTTGGTTTTTGCGCACAAAAAGTATTCTCGTCGCTTGATAAACTTAAGATTGAGCCAGAGAAGTCACTTGGATTATTTTAATGATGTCTTTAATAACTTTTCGAGGCTGGCAAGTTT